TTATTATTATTATAGCGCCTTATCACGTCTTCGAGACGTCCCAAAGCGCTTCGCAGAATATAAATAACAAATTGTATGAGTATTTTGCAACCAAAGTGATTCGATTGAATCCAGAAAAAATGAAATCGCTAGTTGGAAAAATGATTAACAAAACCCTACTTTCAAATAATGCTACGATTAGTTCAGAGATTCGAAGGTTCTGAGTTTCATACAACCTCATAAACCACATTCTTCAGACAGCACAATGTTCTATTGTATATAATTTGCCTCGAACATAGCATCCTTTCCCATTTATAGTTACTCGGTGATTGAAATAAATAGGTATTTGTTTTCTGCCAGGTGTTAAAATTACGAGATGGAGTGCCTGGAGTCTCGCAGCGCATTTAGAAGCAAAGACATTAAGAAACGTTGCAATGTCATTTTGCTTGTGAAAGGAACAAAACAAGAGGTGCTAAGAGGAATTCAAGCGGAAACATTGCCACTTCACAAATGCCTGCCAATGTCACACCAAAGTGCTACACTTTCACTACTTGCCGCGTTAATTTGTCAGCTATGCTTCGAACCGAGCATATTTACAGCACAGAAGGAGGCCATTCAGCCCATCGTGTCTGTGACGTCTCTTTGGATGAGCTTTGGGCCGGTGTTTTTCAGATGTTTTGTTTTCCTGAATTCAAGATTTAAAAAAAAAAAGAAAAAAGTGGTTGAGTGTAAGAATAGTCAAACCTTTTTCAGGTCCATAAACACAAAATACAAGTAATTTATAAACCAGTCACTTGAAATTTAGTTCACCTTTTTTCCTCTGCCTCTTTTTAAGTCTTTTAGCCATCGCGATAACAATAATAATCCTCGCATGTGATATAGCGCCTTATCACGTCTTTGAGACGTCTCACAGCGCTTCACAGAATATACTGTAAAGTGGATTGACTGTATAGTTTGTGGGCGAGACGCAGGAGCCAGTTGCGCACAGCGGCAGTCCCCACAAACAGTCGTGGATCGACTGACCAAATTATTATTCTTTTAAGACATTTTTCAATTTGCGATCAGCGAGCTCCCTGATCAGTTTAGCAGACGGGACCAGGAAAGGCAAGTGGAATGGGGAAGGATTTGTGTACTGTAAAGAAGGGGAGGGGGTGGGAAGCGAGGACTGTAATTGACATGAAAGAAACTTTATAAAATCCAATGATAGCCAACAGGTGTTCTCATTTTGATCTTGGTGTTCACTGTTTCCAGATTACATTTTCATAACCTTTGTGGTTTCGCACTGATGCACATTTTGTACAGAAGTAATGAGAACGCATTCGTGATGTGAATATTCTACATCAAAGTCCTAATAAAATCAAAGTAAAAAAAAAATCATAGAACAGAGGAGACAGCTCAGCTGCTTACTATTTCCTGGCTGAGCACAAGAGAGGGAGAGACATTTATTACAGGTTTTGGCCAACAGGGCTTTTGAAATTGCCACTGAGAGATCAGCAGGACTTGTCCTACGATCTTCTCTCTATGTATGGGGGAGTGATCTGAGATTTTTACTGAAATGACATTGCGACAGGATAACTCCACTCACGCAAAAATAAAATAATAATAATTTGGTCACTCAAAACTCACGACTGTTTTATGGGATTATGCAATTGGCTGCCGCGTTTTGCCCACAAAATATTAAGTCAATATACTTTACAGTATATTCTGTGAAGCGCTTTGAGACGTCTCGAAGACGTGATAACGCACTGTATCAAATGCAAGGATTATGGTTATTATTGATGTAAAAAATTGGGTCCGTAAATGATGGAAACACGCCACAAATTTGACATGATAACGTTTCACGTGCAATGCATGTTTGGAAACTCAGGGCTGTGTTTACAAGACAGAACCAAGAATTGGACATCTCCAACCCTGAAATCAGGCTCCTATTTACGAGTGTATTGGTTCAATATCAGTGGACTTGTCTCAATTTTTCTATTTCCTTGAGAGATAACGGCAGCGAGTGCGAATAAAACAATTTGGCAAGTAGCACCAATACAAATTGGGCTCTCAGCAAACCTAACGCGTTATAAATGGCATTCGGATTAAACAGCGGTGCCTGATAAATAAAAGATATTTGAAGGAAAAAAAACATAAAACTTTTCGAGGAAAACAGGACCACCTCTCGACGAAAGTTGGCCGCTATACAAAAATGTTGGTACGGCAGCTTGATCTAATCAAGAATGCAATATCGTGTTGTGTTTAATTAATTAAAATTGTGTTTTAATTACAGTACTTTGAATCGAAATGTAAGGCAAGAAACATGTGAGGTGGGCGAATATTGCCCTCCAGTGGTGATGTCTCAATAACTTCCTTCTTAACAAAGATTTGCGTATCCCATTATAAGACCCTCCAATACAGTCCTGTCTCGCTTAATAGGCAGACAAGTCAAGGAACTTCGCATTTATTATGCACCGCCAACGTTTATTCCAGCCACTACTTCATAACAGGGTTCCCTGGTGAGCGCATTATTAAGTTTTCCTACCTGTTTTACTATAAATAACAAACGAAAAAGACTTGCATGCCCTTCTCCTATGAAAATGCTGTACAAATTGCAAGCAAGGTTAGCACAAACGCTCCTCTGATGCCAGTTGTCCAATTTAATTGTCACAATCTTATCAATTAAACTTATTTTTGGAGGGCTGGAAGGGAGGGGGGGGGGGGTTTGCACATCAATTGCTCAAATAATGAGCACATGCTGCACGACATACCTAGTCCGAGCTGATAAAGGTCATGGTTGTTCGATATAGGTTTAATGCCATTTAGAGGCATCTCCTGTGGAGTAAAATGACAGCGACATTTAAAGCTCTATTGTGCTCCTACCTACACTGTGATGGGAGCGAATATAAAAGATTTTTCAGAAGATAAAGCAACTGCTTCAAGTTCAGCCCAGCGGATAGCACTTCCCTTGAAATTTTATTGTAAATTCTGGTGACCAAAGTTGTACTTCCATCGTAGAAAATGCAGATAATTGCCTGAGAGCAGACAATTGTTGGAGACAAGTCTCGCCATGGAAATAAATAATGAGCCTTGTATTTTCGTTTCTAACTCCTTATCGTGGCGACAAGGTGTCTCAAAGCGTTTCACAGGATTTTACTGTGAAGTGTAGTGGCTGTGTATTTTGAAAGCAAACATGGGATCCAATGTACAGCAATGTCCCACCAACAGCCATGAAGTGAATATTATCTGGCAATGGATTGTAGGTGGTCAGGATACCAGGAGAAACTTCCTTCACCATTCGAATTTTAGACTTGCAATAACTCTACGCTTTGCATATACCTAAAGCCAACTAACTATTTTGCAAAGTGTTTCAACAGTTTTCACTCCGTCATATATCTTTAAATATAAAAGTACATTATTGCATTAGCAATAATAATTTATTATTAATTAATTAATAACTGCATTACGGGATAACAAAGGAGCTGGATCTTGCCACTCAAAATACAAGTGTTGGTGTTCGAATTGACAGTAATTGCAAAGCTCTTACCCCAAGTCAGAGTTCCCCCTTTCCATCTCTACATTTCAACTGCTACCACTATACCTCTCCCTCCCAACCTGCTGACGGCAGAAAGTAATGAGAAGCCTAGGACACATGAGATTTGGCAAAGAAATTTGCCTGCCTTTTTAACAGCAAGTGAGCTCCTAAACAACAATTTGTTTTGGATGGAGACGAGCGATTGAACTGGGCCTCCGGCAATTTGGGCGTTCAGGCCGACTGGCTCAGTTATGACTGTCTTGTGGAATATTGAAACGCAGTGGGAATGGAGCAAATTCATTTTCGTGGCAGCCGCCAAAGGAGATTCATTGTTAAGACTGACTGATGGGAGTGATGAAAAAAAATCAATTTTTGTTTAAAGCAACAGAAAATTATTCAGGTTAAAAGAAATAAAACTGGACCCAGCAGGAGTTTCTGTATAGAGTTCTCTCACGAGACCATTCATATCAACGACCTTGACGAAGGATATTGTAGGTAGAATACAATTTTTCCCACGATACCAAACCAAGCTATGCGAGAAAGATGTGCACTAGAATTTGCAGAGATGCCGTTCCTGATCAGATGTGTGGCGAATGGCATAAAACATTGGTAAATGGATTTCAAATAAATAGAAGCAATCAAGATGCAGTACAAGCAGATCCCCTTACCTTACATATCATTCCAGTGTACTTCATGAAATTAGTCAGGCATCTAGTTTAATCAAAGTGTTCACCTTCTTTAAAGTCATGAAGCAAAATGAAGGTGAAATGTATTCAAAACTCAGGAACTTAAATTAAGTGCGTTAAGGCTAAAAACTCCCTCTCCCATACATTTATGAGTAAATGGATGGAGCAAAATTTCTTATTTCTATTTTCCCCTATCGTTGCACACTGGCAAATGTGACGGCTCAGAGTATTATGGATGAGAAATGGTGCTACATTTAGGGGGAAAAAAAACTTTTGATGGCATTGGTATGTTTTTTAAAGCCCACATCTCTGCTTTACATGATTTGAGAGTATATATATTTAATGGAAGCATTTACAGAAGGTGGTAATTGATGCGCAGGTACAAATGATTGTAATAGCAAATCCACTATCTGAAATATTTCCATTATAACTACAGATGTCAATCAAGCTGAAGTGAATCAAAGCTTTCTGCCTTCTTACTAGTTAAATAAGAACTTAAGAGCCTGCGTTCTACTACGCCTGATCGCATTGGAATAACGCAAAAGTGTCTCGAAAACAATTACCACCAAGTGTGGGCAAACTCAGCAGCCATTTGTGCTGGTAAGGTGCCAGTCATGAGGTGAAATGACCAATTGTTGGGACTAAGAAGCAACTGGGTACATATCTAAAATGGATTAATTGGAAAGGATATGGGGAAAAGGCAAGTAAAATGGGCAATTTAATAATACTCAATGAGAAGCACTCTCAGGCCAATTTTACCAGGCACAACACTAGCATTTAAATCAGTGCAGGTTCCATGAGCTAGAAATTGGAAGATGGGACAATATCATTTTTGTTTATTTGAAAAAAAAGTACAAATGCACAACAAAGGGCTACAAATCCCAAATATTCATTCAAGTATTTAGATGGGTCACTTAAATATAAAATCTCATCATTGCTAAAGGATTATAATAATAATCCTTGCATTTGATATAGCGCCTTATCACGTCGGTTGAGACGTCTCAAAGCGCTTCACAGGATACACTGCAAAGTGAATTGACTTGTGTGTGTTGTGGGCGAAACCCGGCAGCCAATTGTGCACAGTCCTGGATTGAATGGCCAAATTATTATTATTTTTTTAAAAATGTATTTATTGGTTTGGTTTGAATTTCTTCTGGGAACGACAGAGCGCAGACCCTGTTCAGCTTTGAGGAAAGGCTTTCAGGATTTTCACGTCGTCCACAGGTCGGTCTCCATCTTTAGTTTCCACCATTCCAATGCGATTCACGACTCTCATCCCTTGGCAAACGCGGCCAAAGATGGTGTGCTTCCCGTCGAGCCATTGCGTAGGTCCCAACGAAATAAAGAACTGGCTGCCATTTGTATCTGGTCCTGCATTTGCCATGGCAAGGATCCCTGCACCTGCAAACAAAAAACAATAGTTATATGGAGACAGGTGTTTAATCTTCTGCTAAGAATGGGACTGCTTTTTTTTTAAAAAAAGTCCTCATTAAAATAATGCATTTTCTGCTTATTTATCGTTGATAGCTCCACCGAAGGGAAGGTAAAAGTCATTAAATGTCCTTCGGTCAGGCAGAAAACCAGACAGGATCTGATCGATAAAAAAAATCTAGAAAAATAGACTATTTAAATTAGACAGATATTGCAATTTTTCAGCCAGTTCTGACCAGTGATTAATCTGGCCCTGCACTGCATCCAACAATAGCCTGATAGAAAGTCACTGCCTTGACTTGTAGAAACACCATTAGCATTTCACAGAAAAAGTCACAAGTTCTCCAGTATTCTTGCAGGTCAGGCAAAGAAGATACATGTCGGTTTTCTTCTCCTAATCAGACACTCTCACTGAAAATCCAGCAAAATAAATTCCATCCACTTCCATAGTCTCAGCTTCCTGGTTTGCAAATGTACTAAATGATGCTGCAAATCAGAAAATTAGGATAAGCTTCTGCGAAAGAAGCGTGTCCAACAGGAAACTTAAAATGGACACGGTGTGTGAGTGCAATGCAAGTAATTTCCAGATTCGTCCAATTAAATTCCAATTTGTCATGGTGTGCTACTGTTTCCTGCATTGAAAAATATTGCTTGCATGACAAATTTGCGCAGGGCACAATATTTACACAGGGTGCTCATGTGATCGTAACCGACAGAATGAGTTTTTGTCTATGTTGAAATTAACTTCTGCTTGTATTATTAAGTGACATGATTTTGAGTCAAACTGAACACTGGCAAGCAAAAAGCTGCTATATTAACCGCTGCTTAAAATGTCAAGGCACAGGGTAGTGTGGTCGTGTTACCAATTAATATTTTTCAATGTTAAATAAAAATATGGAGTTCAGATAATTAGTTCTTGAACCCGCTGCCTACTTACCAGTGAATCTTAGGTCTGCGTGCAATTCATCTTCAAAGTGCTTCCCGTAAATAGATGACCCACCTCGACCTGAGAACGGACGATTTAGTCATTTCAAACATTTTAAAAGCACGTCAGGCAGACATGCCAATGGCAGCAAGTACATCTTCTGATCCAGCTGCATTGAATCTTAAAACTTCGTGCAGGTTCAAAACCAAACGATTTATATTCCTTTCGCAAAAGCTGCGTGGAGCAAGTAGGAGTGAGGTCTAAAGTCTTTTTAAAAAAAGTATTCCCGAGAGTTATTGTTCGTTTGTCTGATATGCAAAAAAAACTTAAGATAAAAGCAAAAGCAGATTATTTTTGCTGACCACCCACCGCGAACCAACCCTCTTTCCAGATCGAAACCTCTGTATACAAAGTACAGTGATTACACTTCACAGTAAATCCTGTGATGTGCTTTCCAGACTTTTTCCATAATGTGCTAAAAGGCATGACATCAAATGCAAGGATTGCTACAGATCTCTTCATTCTTACCTGTTCCGGTCGGATCGCCTCCTTGAATCATAAATTGCTTGATGATTCTGTGAAACTTTGTCCCATCGTAATAACCTCTTCGACTCAGCTCGACAAAGTTTTTGCAGGTTCTCGGAGCATGTTTCAAGTACAACTCCACGACTATGACTCCCATTCTGTTTTTTTTTCAAAAAAAAGAAACGAGACAAAAGCAGTTCAAATCAGTTTCCCAACAAAACTTTCGAATCCAGTGTTCGCTGGGGAGACTCCAGCGGTTTCCCCGACACACACTCTGGGGTGCCCCCGAGCCTCGGCTCTTAGCCGACCCGCGCCTAATACTTTCCGGGAAAGTAGGTGGGTGGGACGCATGGAATTCTCAGCTTGGTCCGGATGACTCTTAAGCAACTGCGATGGGTTCCCGCGTGGGGCAGACACCCGGTGTGCTGACAGCCGCTCCCCGCCCGGAAAAAAAAATCCTGAGCCAGGCGGGCGCACGATATTCCCGGATTCCACCACAAAAATCACACCGGGGCGTTTCGCCAACGCAAAATACAGTCAACTCAGTCACTTTACAGCGTGTCCTGCGAAGCGCTTTGAGGAACGGCGCGAAGAGGCGCCGCGTCAAATGCGAGGATTATTATTATGAGGAGGATTATGACAATCCATCCATCCACTTATCCATCCATCCATCCATCCCTTCCTGGCTCACTGGCTCACTGGCTGGGACAGACAAGGGAGCACATCAGTCACTGGGAGCAGAGACTCTTACCATTCTTTCCCCTCTCCCCCCTCACTCCCTTTCTCCCTCCCTCGCCCCCACTCACTCACTCACTCCCCCTCTCCTCCTTCTCTCCTCTCCTCCCTTCTCACTCACTCCTCCCTCCCTTCTTCTCCTCACTCCTTCCTCCCTCTCCTCACTCACTCCTCCCTCCCTCTCTCCTCCCTCCCTCCTCCCTCTCCTCACTCACTCACTCCTCCCTCCCCCTCCTCCCTCTCCTCACTCACTCACTCCTCCCTCCCTCTCTCTCCCATATCCTCCCTCCCTCCTCCCTTTCCTCACTCCCTCCCTCTCTCCTCACTCACTCCTCCCTCCTCCTCTCTCCCTCACTCCCCCTCTCCTCACTCACTCCTCCCTCCCTCTCCCATATCCTCCCTCCCTCCTCCCTTTCCTCCCTCCCTCACTCCCCCTCTCCTCACTCACTCATTCCCTCCCTCCCTCCCCCTCACCCCCCCCACTCACGTTGTCTGCAGAGTCACGCTGCGGGGCTGGTTTTGCTGAGACGCCTCCTGCATCCTCAGACCTTGGCCTGGTGCGCGCGTGTGGGTGTGCGGTGGTGGTGACAGGCTGAAGCGGTTGAATCTTCCCCTTCCCCCACCCCGAGGCGAGGGAAAGGAGGGGAACAAAGTGGAGAGGGGTGTGGGTCGGGGGGGGACCGTTTATCAGGAGCACCGGGGGCGGGCGTTGGGCGTCACCGCGAACACCGTCCGTCCGGCCTGAGCGCCACACTCTCGCGCGCGCTCTCTCGCTCTCTCTCTCTCTGTCATCAATGACACGTGGTGGAGCAGGGAGCACGTGACCGATTCAAACTCGGACCACGTGCTTCCCCCACCCACATCTAAGCCCCGCCCACCGCCAGGCGCTCGCCCCTGCGATTGGCCTGAGCTCCAGTCAATCGCACACGCACACACACGTCATGAATGACGCGGTGTGGAGGCGAGAACACGTGACGAGCTGTTTTTTTCCCCCCCCGCCCCCTTCCTCTTCTTTTAAACCAACTTTGAAGCCAACTTTTTTCTTCCTGTTTAGATTTATTACAAGACTTGATTTATTTATCTATGTTTATTTATTGGAGTAGAACGACTCCCGGGGAGGGAGGGAGGGAGGGAGGAGAGAGAGATGTGTGGGAGGAGCGGCGGTTGGTGGAACGCGCTTTAAAAAATTTAAAATCCAACGGTTTCGAACGGCTCGACGGGAGGGGGCGGGGCGAAAGGCCAAGGCGGCCGTTAATATGCAAATTCTGACCAATCGCAGGAGCGCCTGGGGGTGGGGGCGGGGCTTCAGTGGTGGGGGGGAGTGTCACGTGGACTCGGTCCCGGGCGTTGAATGAGACTCGAGTCAAGTCCCCGATGAGACAATAACAACAGCAGCAATAATAATAATAATAATCATCACCATCATCATCATCATCATCATCACGGTCGGAAGTGTATTTGTACCCTAATCGCCGATACTTGGGACGCGAGGAACAGGCGGTGGGGAAGGAGAGGAGGGAAGAGGGAGGAGGAGGTAAAGGGACATTAACTCATTTGTAAGAGGAGAGAGGAAGAGAAGAGGAAGGAAGGAAGGAAGAGCGAGAGAGGGTTTGAGTGGCTTCTGAGGGGTGTGGGGGGGGGTCTCCAGTCAGTCAGTCAGTCAGTCAATAATCAATCAATAATCAATCATCATCGACCACTTGTATTGATTATAGCGCCCCTCACGCTGGGCAGCGCTTAACAGAGGTGGGGGGGATAGGGTGGGGTGAAGGGGGGGGATAGGGTGGGGTGAAGGGGGGGATAGGGGTGGGGTGAAGGGGGGGGTAAGTGACGTGGGACGCGGTCGAAGAGGAAGGTCTTCGGAGCGTGTGGTCCGGAAGAAAAATAAAGCAAAAAAGGGGAAGGAGGCGGAGAGATTGAGAGAGAGTGAGTGAGTTTCGGGGTCGGGGGGTTAGTGGCTGGTGGGGGGTCGGGGGTTAGTGGCTGTGGGGGGGTCGGGGGGTTAGTGGCTGTGTGGGGGGTCGGGGGGTTAGTGGCTGTGGGGGGGGTCGGGGGGTTAGTGGCTGTGTGGGGGGTCGGGGGGTTAGTGGCTGTGGGGGGGTCGGGGGGTTAGTGGCTGTGTGGGGGGGTCGGGGGTTAGTGGCTGTGTGGGGGGTCGGGGGTTAGTGGCTGTGTGGGGGTCGGGGGGTTAGTGGCTGTGTGGGGGGTCGGGGGTTAGTGGCTGTGTGGGGGTCGGGGGGTTAGTGGCTGTGGGGGGGGTCGGGGGTTAGTGGCTGTGGGGGGGTCGGGGGTTAGTGGCTGTGGGGGGTCGGGGGGTTAGTGGCTGTGTGGGGGGGTCGGGGGTTAGTGGCTGTGTGGGGGGTCGGGGGGTTAGTGGCTGTGTGGGGGTCGGGGGGTTAGTGGCTGTGTGGGGGGTTAGTGGCTGTGTGGGGGGTCGGGGGGTTAGTGGCTGTGGGGGGTCGGGGGGTTAGTGGCTGTGGGGGGGGTCGGGGGTTAGTGGCTGTGTGGGGGGTCGGGGGGTTAGTGGCTGTGTGGGGGGTCGGGGGGTTAGTGGCTGTGTGGGGGGTCGGGGGGTTAGTGGCTGAGAGCACGGCCGCTGACGGCAGAGCGGAGGGGGCGAGGGACGAGCTGGAGGCCGGAGCTCACCGAGCGGAAGTTGTCAGGTGGTGGGACGAGGAGAGTAAGCCGGTCGGAGAGGTAGGAGGGAGGGAGGCCCCTCTGGTTTGAGCTGGTGAAGAGACGTAGACCGACTCCGCTCCCACCACCCCCACCCCGCTGTGCCAAGCCAAGGCGGTTTTAATAATAATAATAATCCTTGCATTTGATATAGCTTCTTCTCGACGTCTCAAAGCGCTTCACACTGTAAAGTGAATTGACTGTATATTTGAGGGCGAACGCAGCAGCCAATTGCGCACAGCAGCGTCCCCACAAACAGTCGTGGATTGAAAATGACCAATTTTGTATTGCTTTGCTTTTTGGAGGGATTATTATTTTAGTTGGTTAAGCTCCAGCAGTTACTCCTTCCTTTTCCCCCGCTCCTCACTTTGTCTTCCCTCCAACGCACAATCTGGGACTTGAAACAAAAGTTACCGAAAGAAGAGTTTCATTGACTAATCGTAGCTCTTTCTTTGCCAGAAACACTTCGCTTGACTTCGCTGAAGACGCGGACTGCTTCAGAAGGAAATGGATCCTTTGACGGATGAAGGTAACCAAAAGGATTGCACTTTCCCCTCTTTGAGACTCGATTGAGACTCAAGTAAACTTGAGATAACATTCAAAAGGAAACCAGCAAAATCCATCAATATAATTTTTATTTAAAAATCCCGATAGTTATCTCTTGGCAGTAAACCAAAGTGCTGCATGGATTGCATCCACAACAACATTTTGATCTGTTGAATGTTGTCCTTCATTTCTGTTTACGATGCTTTCATGTACAGTTTGATATTCTCTCATCATTTTCATCTGCTCACTGTGCTAAAATAATTAACCTCAGCTGTGAGGCTTACATACGCTAAGCTTTTTTCGGTAAGTCCGATAACTTGCTTTCCTTTACTCCTCCCTTAGATATTAACTTCATAACAGAAGAAACATTTGATTTTGGAGTGAATTTTCCAGCGGAAAGGTAAAATGGACATTGTTTAAAGGAAAATTCATTGGTATTTGCTGTCAAATGTTTAAATTGCTAAATCTCACAAGTAAATGCACATAAACAGTTACTCAGTAACATTCTAAAATGTAGAGAGACTTAGAAAAGTTGACTTCTACTTCCTCCTAAAAATTTCAAATTCTCCCAAGTCTTTGCCAAGTTTCCGTCAAAGAGATTTACAGTTGAACTCTGTTTAATGTGTTTCATTATAATGTGACATTTACTTATCAATCCAAAGTGTGCGCAGAAAGCTGGCCCGCAGAGTGATCTTGCATTTGATGTAGCACCTTATCACGTCTTCGAGATGTCTCAAAGCACTTCACAGAATATACTGTAAAGTGAATCGAATGTGTATTTTGTGGGTGAAACTGAGGCTGTGCTTACTGGCAATCGCATCATATAGCGCTGGTTGGGATTTGATGGACTCTTTACCCCCACCACCTCCCAACTACTGCGTTACAATTGGATTCTTCTGTATTTGAGAGATTTATTTGGTCAGTTTTATACCCGGGATCAACTATTTCTATTTTCTGCTGTTCACTTCTACAGCCAAGGAATATCATTTAAAAATGATACCAACGAAGAGGCCCTCATTGGGCCGGTCAAACACTTGGAGAGGTGTGTTGCCATGGGCATTGATGTGAACAGCAAAAACGGGAACCAGCAGAAAGCCAACGAAACAGTGCTGAAGTGGAGCCCCTTGAGTGCTGAAAAGCTAGTGGAAATAGTGAAAGAAGCAAATCGCCTGGCGAATCAGTTTGAAAAGTGTGCCTTAAAGGAGAAGGAAAATGCAAACAAACAGGGGAAAGAGGGAAGAAGTGGCGACCGATCAAATTTGGGAAAGGGAAACTCCAAAGCCAAACTCCGAATTGTACGTGAAGAAAGGGAGCGCAAGCACAGCCAACGGAGTCCAAGGAGAGAGACATTTGTTGTACTCGACAGTCCAAACAAAGCTCTGCTACCTTCTGTGGATCTGTCGTCTTCAGATCCTAAGATAATGAGTGAGAACAGTCCGTTCACTAGTATCGGAAAAGTACACAGTGATATTCAATCTCAAAGCACCAACTGTAAAATAGAGCAGAACAGTGAGTGCGGATGTTTAACCTCTGATAACCCAACGCCAGGGAGAGAAACAAACCTACCGAAAGAAAGCAAAGATGTTATTAAAAAGGTGTGGATGCTAGATTTTACTCTCGCAATTAATTCTGAGCCTTTTAAGGTTGCTTTTTCAGAAGGTGATATTTGCCTGTTCGTGACTGAACTTGAATGTTTTTCAGTAACTGCTTACATGTCAGATACCCAACTGCGTTGCATTTCACAGCAGTATTCAATGGGTTTCAGCTTTTCAGAGTCCTGAAAGGGCAATGGAAATGCCACCACTTGTACAGTTGCGAAATGTATAAAAGAACAAACCCCCAAATGCTTAAAACATACCAGCAAATTGATCAGCATTTGAAAGACTGAGAGGTTAACAGCATTGCTGTCTATTTCTGCTGAAGGGTCTTACACTAAACAATAAGCTTTCTTCTTTTTAAGAAACTAAATGCGTTTGTTAATTTTCCAGCCAGCAGCTAGTTTTTTCTTTTACTTCATTATAACTCCTTAACAGCAGTAAAATTGCTGAAATAATTGGTTCCATTCAAAGCAAACCAGTAAATTCAGTTCTCTTTTGCAATAGCCATGGTTTTAAATTATTTATAACCACTTTGAAGACCCTGTAACACTTCTGTCCTCCCCTTTGTGTCACATATGGTCTATTAGCTATTGAAAAATATGGTGACCAGTTTCTATTTATCCCTAAGCCAATTACAATGTTTTTTTCTCTCTCCCTTTTAATAGTCAGTGCTTCCAAAACCATCTGGCCTGAAGCTTCCGTCTGCTTTAAACAGGAAAGGAAATGCTCATTCCACTTCTCCAATTAAGCCTTATCAATATTCTCCTTCTAAGGAATCAAGGACTTTTGCATCAGCAGCCAGTATAAAACAAACCAAAGGTAGGTTATGCATTGATAATCGTACTGTTCATTCATTATCCTTAGATAATTATTTGGGAGGACAAGTTTTCAGAGCTATGGGGAGCGAGCGTGGGAGTGGGATTGATTTGGGTAGCCCTTTTCAAAGAGCTGGCAAAAACATGATGGGCCGAATGGTCTCCTTCTGTGCTGTATAATTCTATGATTATGTACAAATACACATTGAAACGAGAATTTGGATATATTTTTTAAACTAGTATTAGCATGGAGTGCTTCATCTAATAGTACTGAAATATATTCACACTCATCCACCCCGGCAGCAATTGGAAGTCAATTGTGTTTGTTTGGTTTCATTGCTGATTTGTCACTTGACAGCAGCAACGCTGATGCTAGAGATTTTAAATGCTATTTGTTGTATTTTGTAGCATTCTTCAACACATTGTTTTCTTATAACAGTTGCATCATTGAACAATTCAGTAAAACGCCCAGATATTTCTGGAAAGAGTCCCATCTCACGCAGTAATTCTAGCAAAGTATCGATGGTACCAGGGAGCAAGATGTCTACCTCCTCGATCTCTTCGAAAACCTGCACTGAGGGGAGAAGCAAGCAACTCACTGGAGCTAGCAGATCTGCTAGTGTAGGGACCAGCAGTCGCCTACAGCCACCAAGCAAGCTTATTCCTCCTGGAAATCATTTAAAACCTGGGACCTTCTCACACATTCACACTGGCATCAAAATTCAAAGGGCCAATTCAGAAGTACTTAAGAGCAAGACACCGGAACAACTTCTAAAAACCAAAGGTAAAGGTTTAGGATAGATGGATTTCCCTCCTCCAGATAAGGATCATGGCTGGTAGCACACTCGCCTCTCGGTCAGAAGATTGTCAGTATATTCTGTGACGCGTTTTGAGACATCTCGAAGACGCGATAAAAGAGTTATATCAAATGCAAGGATTATTATTGTTGTGGATTCAAGCGCCACATTCAATCTTGAGCTCATAACTCAAGACTATTACTGCATTATATGAGGGCCTGTTCTTCAAATGGGAATTCTGTTACAGATCCAAGTGAATGTGAAAATCCCATAATATTTGAATAAACAAATTTATCCCAGTGTTTTAGCCAACAATCTAATAGTTGCTTGCAGCAGATCTCTGCAAATTGCCTTCATTGGTTACCTACAAATTCAGTTGCTTCACTCAACAACAATTCCATGTGAAGTGCTTTGAGATGTTTCAGAATTATAGGCACTTCAGGAAATGTATTGATTATAATACTATTTGGGAAGATTGGACCCTTGCTTACCAATTTACTAGACCATAATCGGGTTCTTCACAATTGTTACATGAACTGAATGTTGAAGTAAAACTAACAGAAATGCATAATTACACTTCCTGCTGTTTGACTGGAGGTCAGTGCTGCTCGGAAGAAAATGTATATGATCGGTAATGGCTAATTTTGATGCAAATTTTTTTTTTTAACAGTTGCTTCAACCAGACATCCAAACGCATCTACCTCTGCAACTCAAAGTAGGCTGCTTCCACCCAAAAAAGGGATTTCAAGTCATATCAAAAGGTAAAACTTTCTCAGTTTCTCTCTTGTTGCAGGTCTGTACCTGATATCTGAGTTTGCGCTTCATAGCTCCTGTATTTGCGAATAGGATGAAACAAAGGAACTGGTTACTTGAATTAGTTCTGGATCAGTAGAGGAAAGCTGAAGTGGTTTTGTGTTAGTAAAAGGCAGATAATAGCTGTTTTAACTTTTTTTGTGGTTAAAATAATTAACTTACATAACAAGACCATTTTGCCTAACGATTTTAGGATGGTCTTGCCTGAAAATATCCAATTAACTCTATTGAACCATCTGAACCACTAATATAACATTTTCTTCAGTAGCCTTTTCTGGTAACGTATACTGTTACATTTGCATGACAAGCTAAGCCTGGTACGAGATGTGCCCCAAAGTAATGAAACTAATCCAAAAGCAACATGGTTTAGCTTTAATGCCTTTTTTTAGATAACAAATGCATCACATGTATATAGACACGGGTGGAAGAACCAACACTTTTTCTACAGATTAAAAACTCGGATGACTTGTCCACTATTGCTCCAACTTATTGAGCCAAAACGTCTGAAGTATTCAGCAATTAATCTCACGATCGGACTAATGAAACCATTCGACTCTTTACCTTTTAGTGGAATCCTGTAGCTCAGTGGTTAGAGCACTCGCGAGAGACCTGAGTTCAATTCCAGGCAGAGGGCGAAACCTTGGGCAAGTTTCCTTACTCCACACAGAGCCTAATAATAATCCCTCCAAAACCAAAAAAAAACAATAATAAATTGGTCATTTTCAATCTACGACTGTTTGTGGGACATTGCTGTGCGCAATTGGCTGCCGCGTTCGCCCACAAATATGCAGTCAATTCACTTTACAGTGTGTCCTGTGAAGCGCTTTGGGACGTCCTCCCGACGTGAAAAGCACTATATCAAATGCAAGGATTATTATTATTATTATTAACTGCGAGCCATTGTATTAACATACCATTTTCCATTGCTCAACTGTAAAGCTTGGCATTCTTTCCCTTTTCAGATAATTGATTTTAGTTGAACAAAATGAAGTCTTCAGTGATGCAGGAGCCAAGAAAAAGTTCTGAAAATTGCCATTGATGTGGCACACAGCAGGATTCCTTAAGAACCTATTCTTGAAAGCTCCCTCAGACCATAAAGGGAAAATGCTAGCTAAAAAATGCTTTGAATACTAAAGACGTTAACACTAATACATTGCAAATGTGAGATAATTCAAGTATGCTTAGGAGTATAGGCTTCCAAGTATCTAGGTGAAAGACAATTTACAGCCCCGCTTAAAGCTGTATGGCCTGTTATGTGTATAGTTTCTTTCCAAATGATTAACCACTAAATGAATACAGCAACTACGACAACAAATTACATTTAGAGAGTGTCTTTCATGTCGGGAGGACGTCCTAAGGCGCTGGACCCCCTACCTCTCTGACCTCTCCCCTCACAGCAGTGCCTGTTGCCTTCGCTTCACCGGGTCTGGCCTCCTCATCCCCCGAATCCTCCGCTCTACCATCAGCGGCTGTGGCTTCAGCCACTACGCCCCGAGGCTCTGAAACTCCCTTCCTCACTCCCTTCGCCTTGCCCTCTCCCTATTTTCAGGTTTCGGCTGAAGACCTTTTCGACCGCGCCTTTGGTCGCCTCCCTCCCCCTGGCTCAGTCCCGGGATTCGTTACCGTGAAGGGCGCTATAAAAATCCAAGTTGTTGGATATAAAGGCAGGAGAATATACCAGGAAATCTTTGAATTGGCGTGTGTAAAAAAAAACACATAACATAAAAAAACAAGATGCAACACTAAATGAACTTCAGTGAGTAAGCAAGAAAATCTGGGTGCGGGCATTATTGGGTTGTGATGTCTCAGTCCAGCCTTGTGTCAATGGTCACACATTAACAGTGGCTCCTTGGATGTGATATCAGAGATCAGCAGTGCATGTAGAACCTTACCTTCAGAGGGGCGTGGGGGGGGAGGTGAAAATTTGAGGTATGCAAATACTTGAATCTCTAAGTAAGTTCAATACCTTTAGAATAGTAACTTTACTTTGCCTGAGGTCAGACTTGGAATCAAACCTGTAATCTTGTCTGTACGGCTAAATACAGATGCTAATCACACAGCCTTTTCAAATACAAGTAACTGGCAATATTGCAAGCCTTGGTTTAGCACAAAATGCTAAAAATCACACAAAATGTGATGTTTACAAATGTACTTTTGTCATAGAATAAGCAAAAGCATCAAGGTATTGTGAAAACAGCATATGCTACAATTTCTCACGATGCTCCAATCTAAAACAACGGCTAATGTAATGAACTGTTGTGACAATCATCGTCAAGTTTCAATACTGTTATTTTCTTAACTGTATCTTTTATAATGCTAGTGTAAACTTTTATTAAAAATCTTTCTAACGTTTTGTAACAAATAGCCATAACTTTTGTTTTAAAACTAATGAGGTAACATTTTAGGAAACTCAAATTTATACTTTCTGTGGAACGATCGAGTCACCCGTTTGTGTAATAAAAACAAACAAACCTTGAAAGTGCTTCTTTTTAAACAAACAGAAAAAACATGTAGACAATAAACATTTTCTTTCCATAATCAATGTTAAAAAAAACTAAAGCACAGTCTTCACAGTCTTCTGAGGAAGAGTCAGGCATAAAATGACCATCAATCTTTCAGGTATAGATCAAACACAGTGTTTTTAACATTCTGTTTATATTTCGGGTTTCCAGTATTCAGAGACTAATTTTGTATCATTTACCCTTTTATATGTAATTGCTAATTCTCCATCCTTGTAAATTTTTCATTTCCTTCGAAAACAAAGTACTGAATTGTATTCCCCAGACAGACCCTTTGGCATTGTGCTGTTTTTTAGACTTACCTTGACCAAATTTTAGACAAGCCTGACTGATGGATTAGTTCCAGTGAAATCTGTGGTGAGCAGTCAGCCGTTCCCAAAGGAACAAATATGAAATCCCTCACTATTTTAAAGTTTCAGTCACTGATACAAATTGAGGATAATTCAGGTCAGGAACTTGCATTTAGGATTTTGCAGATTTACAGAATAATTTGATGAAACAGAACCTCCGCCTCTATTATTAAGGGTTAATTTGTAATCCAGGCTCACAAATTTATCTTCGCTTTTTTTGCACCGCACTTTACTCAGTCGTGCCTCAGTTGAAAGGTGAAATCTGACTGGCTGACTTTCTGTTGACAACAGTTGAGGTTACGTTGTGGTTAATTCAGTGGTGTCACTCTTGATTCAGTGCGTCCACTGGGAAGAGATGCAAAAGCACCACACTATTCACCAGAATAGTGCAACCAACTGGAAAGGAATTGCAACCCTCTAAGGTTGGGAAACTATCAATCTTTGAGCCTGACTTTTAAAACAGGTCTATTTGCAAAGCTAATTTTTATTCCCCTTTCATAGCAGTGCTGGTCTCCCAGTCACTAACTGGCACAGTTGAAATAAAATACTAAGCAACGGTAAGAGAAGTACGCAGTACTTTTAGAAACATTCGGGGCTTCGACAGCCCACAAATTCAACAATGCTTTTCTTGTGATGAAGATATTACTTCTACGTTGAGGTCCTCAAGTTTATCGCTAGTGAAGCTGCTGCTTTTTCAAATCATGGTTGTATCGAAACGCCTCATAGAACATTCAACACAAAAGGTCATTCAGCCCAATACGCCTGCCTTGCATTTGATATAGCATCTTATCACGTCATTGAGATATCTCAAAAGCGCTTCACAGGATTTTACTATGAAGTATAATGACTGTTTGTCGGTGAACACGGCAGCCAATTTGCGTACAGCAACGTCCCACAAACAGCCTTGAAGTGAGACACAGGACAAAAGAAAAATCTGCCATATCTCTGTCCATCTTCAGGCAAACGCACCTGCTTTGACTACATTTATTTAAAAACCTACAGTATGTACATTAAGAATTTTGACTGTACAATTAACTGTTAGAAAGCATTCAGTATTGTTCTAGTGAAAAGTGAGAAATCCGTCGCCAGATTCCGTTAGAATGGTGGAAGTTTTTGCTTTTCGATCAAAAAACAATGAATCTATACAATATGGACAAACGTCATATTAACAGAAAAATGAACAACGTTCTCTTTAAATAAACATCTGAGATTCTCTACTAGGACTTCTTTAAGAACTATGTTAAACCCAACTTTTTTTCTTTTAAAAAAAAACGCAAGCAATGTACAACGCACATTTTTCTGTCCTTACAAATCATATCAAAGTTTATCTACATATTGATCTTCCTCGGTTTTTTTTTGAAAAAAAACATTGTTCGAAGTAGGCATTGCTCTGAGGATAAAACTCCACCAAATCTGGGGGACGAAGGCTGCGTGGCTAAAGGCAATTTTTCCCACGTGCGGAGAACGTGAGTACAGTTTTAGCGGTTTGTGGTCATACATTGCATCATTGAGCTCAGAAATGATGATGTGAGCGATTTAAGGGGTGCGGGGAGGGAGAGGGAAAGTGAGGTGGGCTTGACAGGTGCTCAAGCTGTGGCAATGTATCTTCCCAAGACCATCTCAATGGCAATTCATGGCTTCTCCAAGCAAACAATGCGACTCAAATTGAAAATGCAGACCGGAGAGGTTATGGAGTAATGGGCATCACAATGAGCAACGTCAGTTAAGGTATCTGGAATGTGAGAGTGCTTCTCCATTGCTAGATCGAGTCGCTTCATTCCTGCCTTTTTAAGTGATTTTGCTCCACACCCTCTGCTGCTGTAACAAGAGCGGGGAACATGTATACATATGGTACTGGTAAATGCAACTTTTGAGCTTCCTGCCACCTCGTTGAGCACCAAATCCATTAGAATGACAAAAGGAATGACGCAGGCACTCAACTCCGGGTGGCAGAGAATAGGCAAATACATCAAGTAAAAAGTGCTGTATCTGCATTCAGGACAAAGGGAAGCTTTACACCACAAGTGGGCTTTTCTGCTTGGCTGGTGACTTCACTACGAAATGATGTATGTCATGTAACATTGGTTTACGTCAGCCTTCGAACCAGGGGAAAAAAGGAATGGAATCGAAGAGAGGAGCGTGGCGACAAGTACAGAGACTGAGACAGTCTTAGGGAGCTTTTGGGGGTGGGGGGTGGCACAGGGGTGTAATCGCAAACAGACCTTATATAAACATAGTTAATTACAATAAATTCCCTGAAGCTTTTAAATCTTCCGTTCGTTGCACTTAAAAATTTGAGAATACGAAATTCCGAAGTTCCAAAGTCGCCTTCTTTCGAATTTCAGTTCTTCAGTGCTCTGCGTCCCGACCTGGTCCAAAATCCATCCGGGTGCGTTCAGACTATGTCGGAGTCTAGCCCCAGGCCGTCACTTGGTCCGTTAGCATGCACGCTCACACGCTCGCAAAGCTGTGTGTCAATAGGATTTGGCACTGATATGAACGTTAAGTAGTCACACCTTTCTCAGCCCCACGCTCCATGTGACAGTAAGTTTCTTTCCTTTAGACAGTGTTTGCAACTCATAGCTTTGTCCCTTGGGGCAAGGCAAGTCACCCAGGCTTGTCTGAGGTAAACAAAGTGACATTGCTGCTGCTCTTAGGAATCCTCCGTGTCCTACGCTGATGTGAGGGGTTCATATCGAGGTCTCGTCACTGCTACTGAGCGTGGAACAAAAAAGCACAAAAGGAAAACAAATGCATGATCATGATTAGATGCCGTGTGATGGAATCGACTGTGCATTTCATATCTCTGAGGTATATGGCCTGACAGGAGTTTCAAATAAAACCTGGTGTAATATGTTTCAATGGAGAAAATTAAAGAATAGAAATCTGCAAGTTTGAAGAGGAGAGGAAACAAAAAAAGGGATACAAAATTAAAAAAATTAGTTGGTTAAAATTCACCAAGCGAGATGTTAATTTTTCGCCGCGATCCGATCGCAAGTGAAATAAAAATAAAAATAAAATCTTATTATCTGGCATTTTTGCGGCAAAATACAAGATCAGGAATAATGCTTAAAAACGTACAGATAGTTTTTCGTAGGTTATAAGAAATATAAAAGCATGGAACGAGATAAGTATCCAGCACATCAAACCTGTGTTAACAATACATAGTAATGATAATCCTTACATTTGATAGGCCTGCCTTTCACGTCGGGAGGACGTCTCAAAGCGTACCTGCCCGGCAAAAGCTGGGACTGTGCGCAATTGGCTGCCTGCCGCGTTTCACCCACAAAATATACAGTCAATTCACTTCACAGTATATTCTGTGAAGCGCTTTGAGACGTCTCGAAGACGTGATAAGGGGCTGCATCAAATGCAAAGATTAAATTATTATTAATATTATTATTATATCCCTGCCCCTCTAAAGGTAAATCAAACCACATCGCCACAAACACCCGCTTCGTATTAGCCCTTATTGGTGGCATTAGCCACCTGCTAGTCAGCTATTAACCAGCGGCACAGGCCACGTGGAAGAAATACTCACTCAGACCCTGACGAGTCCTCATCCACTGTGCCAGCTTTAATGCTCATGGGGATGGGCATGACTCCGTTCATCTGCTCGCCCACCGCCATCGGTCTCAGTTTGGCCAGCCCCCCAGACCGACTCCCCTCACTGGATGCCACCGAAGAGGCCCGAGAGGACACAGTTGCCGGTTTATGATTGGAAAGTTCATTGTGAATTCGGTTGATGCTGTTCTTCTCTGTGAACAGCGGGAGCCCTTTGTTTTTCAGGATTCCTGTAAATTTCGACAGGGTTTTTCAAGTTAAGTCTTCACCAAACGGTTTTGGGGGGAAAAAAAGTTAAACATTACATTACAGAAACAGCTTATTTTTTCTAGGGTCAATAGGGAAAAACTTCCAGGGAACATTACAGGCTAAGTGCTACCTTGTTTGGGTGACTTTCAGTGCCTTGGGACATCTTCTCGACATGAAAGGCGCCATACAAATGTAGTATTGTATTGTCGCCTTTCATGTCGAGAAATGTATTGTCGCCTTTGCAGTTGTGGGTCACAAGTGGGAATTCTCACTTAAGTTGCTCGTCAGTAAAACCCTCAGTGGAATTTTCACCCAGAAACATTCTTCCCCCAGTCCCCGTTCCCTTCCCCTCACCTTTCTGAGGCTGTGCATTAGGGTTCGGCATTGACGTCACGGAACTTTCTTTATACAGAGTATCTCCGTTCTCCTTTGGCCTTTCGTCCACATGGTTGAGCTTTTCTCGATGAAGCTCGATATTCGCTACCGTCTCTACCTTCAGTTTCTCCGACCCAGCGTGACCCTCGCTTTCGCTTGCTGTCGTCATGAACTCTCCTGGCCAGTAAGGCTTCACATGAGCGGATATGTTGTCCACTGGAAAGACAATTCAGTCAATGTGCTGGAAGAAATTAACTTGCTAAAATGTCCTCACTTTTTAAAGGCCTTCACGGGCTTGCCCCTCCCTACCTCTGTGACCTACTAAAACTTTACCAACCTGTCCGCTCCCTCTGTTCGGTGGGCACTGGCCTGATCCATGCCCGCCCCACCAACGATACTTGGGCCTTCTGCCTTTCTGCCCCCACCCTCTGGAACTCCATCCCAGAACGCCTCTGCCTCGCCCTCTTCCTCGCCTCCTTCAAGGCCTGTCTCAAGACCTTCCTCTTTTGACCGTGCCTTCCTTCATCCTCCCACCTCCACCCCCCTTGCCCTCCACCACTGTCGACTCCAACCCCAGCTTGGGTGCAAACCCTTCGCTGTCCAGGATCTCGTGACATGGTCCTGAAGTGAAAGGAGCTATACGAATGCAGTTTGTTCTTCTTGTTGGCTTCCTGCTCTCAATTGCTACCTGCAGACCACTTCTGGAAGGAGCTTATGTGCAGAAGGTTAATGAGAGCAAAGGAGCAGAGTGCAGGACATCAACCGCGGTTAAGTCGATTGCTGTGGGCAATTGGCTGCCGCAAATCGCCCACAAAATACACAGCCACTCCACTTCACAATATGTTCTGTGAAGTGCTTTGATACATCTCAATGATGTGATAAGGGTCTAATGCAAATGCAAGGATGATTATTAATTATTATTAGTATTAAGTCGCTCCTTTGACACTCAAAGTCAGGACGCTCGTGAACAATGACCACTGAAAAGACAAATAGGAGCCAAACACCTTCAAGAGAGGAGTCGGAGAAACTGAAGAGAGGGCAATCAATATCAAGAGATCGCTTTTTAAAAATTCAAACTTTTTTAAAAAAAGTTGAATAAAAGAGAAAAGTGATAAAGTGCGAGGCTTTTTTTTTTGCTTGGAGCATACCGGGATCTGAGTGCGAACGCACAGCAGGCTTTCTCGCTAATAGGCTCATTATTTTGAAGACAATGAATATTCAGAGGCCATTTCATCAAAGTATTATCAGTACAGAAGTACAAGAGCTTGGCTTATTAATGATGGAAACAATACATTGCACATTCCCCCTCGGAATCAGAAAGCATCTAAATTTGTGTGAAACTCTAGATAGGAGAATATTTAGGGCATGAATTTATTTTGATGCTCATTATAACAGCCTCTGATAAAATTTTTGATGGCTCCATCTCTGGTGAATATTCATCCTTAACACTTAATGCAGCATCTTTCATGTCAGAATGTTTCAAAGCGCTTCACGGGATACACTGTAAAGCGTAGCGTCCCGAGTAATTTTTTTTTGGAGGCCAAATATCTGATGGAGATGTCACGCAAACCTCAATGCAATGCTTGTTTTGCTCGGCAACCTTGTGTCCCATTTACACTCAGTCACCAAGCACTGGTGTAATCAGAGGGCACAACCATTGCATAGAAGGCATATTAAGCCACTCAGAAATGTAACAAACCGCTTTAAACCATGTATTATTTAAAAGAACGTACCCGAAAGCCACATCTTGGGTTTCGGACAAGAGCCGTGCATTAAACCAGCTCTGGGATTAAATCAAAACCTTGCATCACATTACCATGTATTCTTTATTCTCTGGATACAGCTCAATCCACAACTGTTTGTGGGACGCTGCTGTGTGCAATTGGCTGCCCCCAAAATATACAGTCCATCCACTTCACAGTATATTCTGTGCAACGCTTGGAGACATCTCAACGCTACATCAAATGCAGGGATTATTATTATTATTAGGATTATTATTATTTTAAATGACTTGATAACTGTCCGATTGATATGGCACGTCAGGCTCGAATAATCATTGTGAAATAACTGGGGGCAAAATGTAATGGGTGGTGTAGGATTTCAATTGCCAACATCCAACTCTCAATTGCAGTGGACCTAATTGGTAACGGATACCTGTTTCGGTCCCTCTGACAATGATGGTTCAAAGAAATTCCGATCCGGTTTGAGCAGTTACCTTTTGGCGTACTGTGGGCGTTGAGCTTTTCATTATTTGGGGATATAACATTCTCCCAACCTGGCTCGGCTTGAAACTCTGCATCTTCTTCGCTGTCTGAAGAATGAGTGGAGGCGTACGATCCGCTTTGGTCATCCTCCAGTGAAAGGTCACTGTCCGAGTCCGAATCGTGCTCTGTGATCAAGGAAGTCAAAAGAACTTAGTAACCTAAGTTAATAACAAGACTTGTGTGGATCCAGGGATCAAACCTACAGTACGTTTAAAGCCCTACTGAACTAAAGCAATATTTTTTGGTCAGCCGGGTGTCTGACACATGCGGAAACCCATCACCGTGCTTAAGAGTATCCAAATCAAGCTGAGAACTCCATGAATCCCACCTACACAAGGAAATTCCAGAAATAAGATTGTTGGAATTGAATGCACACTCTTCCCCTGGAGGGACACATCCTACTTACCTAATTCCGGAAAGTGTTAGGCACAGGTTGGCAAGAGCCAAGGCTTGGGGAACCCAGAGTGTGCTTTGGGGTAACTGCTGGAGTCTAACCAGCTAAAGCAATATGTTGATACAAGCTAAAGGGCGATAGTTTTCTCACTGTTTTCTCTCAATCGGCCCTTGTTCCTATTCTTTGCAGCAACCAATGTTGTGTGAAGAGTTAAGGACTGTCCAGTGACGAACACAGAACTACGATGACATCTTACCATCTGGAGCACCCTTGATCTCATGGAATAAGGAAGTGTTGTGGTCAGTCAGAGCAATGTGGGCCTGACTAGAGGTGCTGTTATTCAAGGCAGCTTCTTCCCTAAAGAGAAGAGAACGACAGGTCAACAATATAGACATCTACTAGATGCTAGACAGGCAGAGGCAGACTTTTGTATTATTCCTGTAGGAATTATTGATCTGTAGGGCGATTATTAGTCTAAAAAATATTCAGGATTAAGAATTTAATCCTCGTCGATTTAATGAGCTGTAAAGGGCTATAACTAGTGTTGGTGGGCGAGTGGGAGTCAAGTTCAGCCTCAAACCAGACCTTATTCCAATCTTGATTTACTGCTGAAAGGGCATGAATTGCTCCTCACATCACTTACTGACATTGGAGAAACCAAAGCAAAATAATTTTTACAATTTACGACCAGTCAAGTTGAATAAAAGATCATTTAACAGGGTTTTTTTTGTGTTGGGCCAGCCAGGTGTCTGACACATATGGAAACTCATCCCCATGATTAAGGGTAATAGAAACCAGACAGACAGAGATCCACGTGTGTCTGCCACCTCAACATGGAAAGCTCCCAGTGTCTGGAATTGAATGCCCCCCCACCAGAGGGATGCACCTTTCTCACTTAATTCCAGAGAGTATCGGTGTTAGTATTAGTACGGTATTTAACAGTCATGGGCCCCAGTGAATGAATGAAGCACAGAGCTTTGGTAGCACTTTACCTGAGAACAAATGCAATGTAACTGTTGTGGCTTTTCCCTGATCTTGTAGCACTGCTCAGCGAGCCGGTGGAATCCCCGAATGCTGAGCGATATGCCCGACCGTCGATGTAGGTGTTATTGCAAAGCGACTGCTCGAAACAAAGGGCATGAAATAAAAGAGAGGCTGATTATTTATCAGTGAACCTTTGGATGCCGCTGCACAGACAATTTAGAAGAATACCCCTTCTTGATTCGGAAGAACATTTTTTGAAGCTTCTCATTCTTCACCCCCGCATTACAGAAAGTCATTCAGTGAGAAGAAACATACCATCGTACACAATGTTACGTTGAAAACAGGGCACATTTTTCGGTGGGATTTGGGACAAAAAATATTCCAACAACTCCCTAACTCCCCCTTAGTTTTCCTCCAGATCTCCTCTCCTGAAATCAATGAAACATTATGAGCCTAAACAGTGGCAGGCTATTCAACTTGTGGAGGAATGGGATTAGACTAGACAACTCGAGTTAGCAAACGCAACTGGCCTCCTTCTGTGATTGATTCATTAATTATTTAAATCCTAAGCAGTTGCTGTAAACTTCCACATTACCCTTCATTACTCATGGCCACTCGAATCGATCTGTACCTAGAAGCAGTCAGAGCTAATAAAAATGGTTTGTAACTATTTCCACCCGTTAGCACCCTGGAGGCTTCCATTACAGTAAAATCCTCTCCACGTTTCACAGGATTTATTCATTCATTCTCCGATTCTTTTCCCAAAGAGAATGCTTCCCGCAGAGTACATTACTTTGTTCCTTTTGTCGCTACCCTTTAGGGCTGTAACAAATGAATTTAGTTGAGAAACCAGAACTAATTCATAAAAAAAAATTGTTCAAACCAAGAAAGGGAATGGACCTGTATCAAAAAAGGCACGATATACAGCAAGGAATTTTAGTATAATAATAATAATCTTTGCATTTGATATAACGTCCTATCAGGACACAATAGGAAATGTAACCCTTTAATTTCAGGGTTGCGATAACAGCAAAGTGAAGCGAGAGAGACACTGATTCTAACCCGGGGGTGTGAGGGATACATTGCTCACCTTCTCTGTGAAACAGGGAGATCAGTTAAACACTGCTTAGGGCACCACTTTTCAGGGGGCAAATTAAGATGTTCTTACACCATACCCTCACTTGACTAAGATATCAACGCAGCAGTAAAAGACGCAAATGGAAAAGAGAGATAGTGCAGCTACTAACAGAAGCTAGCGTTGACTTTGTTGTTACGATGGTGTCGTCGATGTGCTTCTTACTGAAGGTGTACTTGATGGCTTTCCGTACTTCCTTGTTGAGGAGACAGCGGAAGATGAAGATGAACGGACCCTAAGAAGCAACAACAACAAAAACATTCGCACAGATAGTCAGTCTGATCTCAGGCAGCGTCAGTCTGAATAGTGAAGGCCCCTTTGCTTTGGGCGCATTGACCCCAGGGCAAGGTTCCAAATAGCAGGAGCCAGATTCAGGGAAGTCAGGAAGATTGAGGAGCAACAAATTGCCAGAATTAACTGGGAAAACCAAATACACGGATTGACGATTTGGAAAAAACACTCCCGAGACATCATCCTACGTGAAGGCCGTTATACAGGGTGACCAAAAAGTTGTGATAACTATCCTATTACCTAAAAAAAACACACACATCATCATTTCTTTAAGACTTATTAGACATTGTGATGGTATCACTACTTTTTGGTCACCCTGTACAAATGCAAGTTGTTGTAGGTTTTGATTTCATCTGGGAAGATTAGATGAGAAGGGAAAAGGAAAACGAAGATAGGGTTTACCTGCAGACAGTTGAATCCAGCGAAGAGATAGTGGAAGATAATGGTGTCGTTGTTCACTGACAGCACTGCAAAGAGCCACGTGGTGCTGACGAGAAGCAGCACCACAAACGAGGTGCGTAATCCAGATCTGCAAATAGTAATAATAATAATAATCCTTGCATTTGATACAGCGCCTTATCACGTCTTCAAGACGTCTCAAAGCGCTTCACAGAATATAGCATAAAGTGAATTGACTGTATGTTTTTCTTTTGTGGGTGAAACATGGCAGCCAATTGCGCACAGCAGCTTCCCATCAATCCAAACAGTCGTGGATCGATGTACCAAATTATTATCGTTATTTTTTGATATTATTTTTTATTTTACAAATACTGTATTATATAAATGCACCGAATACAAGTTACAAGCACTACGTATGAATCGTGTGGGCAGGGCAACTGTTCAGGCGGATATTAAACATCCCGTGGCATGATCCGAAAGAGAAAGGAGTTTCCCTCCTGGTGTCCCGGCCGTTAATCCGCCGGGTTAAAAAAAAAATCACTTTGTGGGCAGTTTGAGAGAGTTATTTCTATTCAGGAATCCTCGTCAGTGATTTAATCCGAACACAACACTTACACAGTCCCCTTCTTCTCGAAGCCTTGGTGCCGGGGTCTACAGGAGGCTTTGGCAGACAGAATGTACAGGAAAACGTTCATCTGCAAAGAAGAAATGACATCCCAAATCAGCTCTTTTTGGGCCTCTTGCCTTTCTCCGTACTCTCGCGCAGCGAATGTGGGCTCCACCATTACAGCGCTGGCTGGATCTGTCAACTGCAAAACTTCCCTCAAGCAAACTCGTCCAGTTTGGGATGTGAATCAACAGGAGTCAGCGCAGACGACCATGAGAACAGAGCACAAATGAATCCACATTACAGGGCCTGATCACGCAGGGTGTGATAGAGTGACGTGGCATGCAGTCTACTAGGAGCATGCAGTACTAATAATCCATTATGTAAAGTGAAACACAGTACATTCAGGCTTAATAGTAATAATCCTTGCATTTGATACAGCGCCTTATCATGTCTTCGAGACGACTCAAAGCGCTTCACAGGATATATTGTAAAGTGGATTGACTGTATATTTTGTGGGTGAAATGCGGCAGCCAATTGCGCACAGCAGCGTCCCACAAACAGTCGTGGATTGAAGAGACCAATTTAGGCTTATTCATTTAGTTAGAAGGACCCCCAATGAAATAGGGTTAACCTCAGCAGTCCTGTCGCACAGTAACTCAACCCAAGTCACTCAGGGGTGGATGGCAAGGCAGAGGGGGTTGCTCCAAGGCAGAGGGGGACGGGAAACTGGCAAAGGATTCCAGAAAAAAAACACTTACAGAAACTGAGAGCGCGATGGGGCCTGCAAAGCTCCAGATCAGCTTGTCGAACATGGAGAGCCAACAGAAGTCGGGATTACCATATCCCTCTGGGTCGAGACCCACGGCCAACCCTGAAATCCACAGAAAGAACGCACTTCAGAACAAACCGCCAGCCGTGGAGAAGAAATAATCCTTGCATTTGATCTAGCTCCTCATCACGTGCACGAGACGTTGCGAAGCACTTGACAGAATACACTGTAAAGTGAATTGACGTATATTGTGTGAGCGAAAAGTCATACCCGCGCACACTGGCGACTGGGAAAGAGGTGTCGGCAGTGTTACCCAAACAGCGGCCAAAGAGGACACAAACTTCGCTTGACCTGGGATCGTTTCCCAAACGCAAGCACAATACAACGGGACCTCGTCATTGAGAGCTTTCTGTCAGGAGGAAAATCAGCCCACTTGAGCCAAGGGAAGCTGGATTGACTCGGTATATACTGAAGCCCAGTATGGATCGAAGGCTGGGTACCTGTGATGAAGGCAGGAACCCCCCAGCCCACCATGTAGTAGAAGCGCATGGGCCCGTAGTTGATGTCGCGGACTTCGGTCAGCATCCGGTAGATGTGAAGTCCTTCCAGGAACATCCAGGCAAAGGTGCACATGTAGAAGAAGTGGAGCATGATGGCGATCACAGTGCAGACAAACTGCGGACGGCAAGTCAAGGGGCAAAGGCAGGGCATCAGTGACAAACAAATAGATTATTGGACCCATTACAGTTATATTATTATTATATTACATTATAACTCAACACAGGCTTTTTGCACCCACCCACACCGGTTACTTTACGTTTGATCCGAATGGCCCAGTGAATCCCGGCTGCTTACCAACACTGCAAAGGAATGACCGACGAGATGATTTTGGTGGGGAATACCTCGGGCAGCTCTCTACCACTAACTCATCGCAGAAATGGCCATCGTGTTATATCACACCCGCACAGAAGGCCACTTTAATATCAGTATCAGAAAAGGTGCACTCAGAAGTGCAGTGTTGACTTGAACATGCTTTTGGGACAGTAGCTTAGCGGGCAGAGGCCAGGAATGTGCTGGGAAGGATGGTTTGTGGGTTCCGAGTTGGCAAAGGAATGCTCACTTGGGCTTCATATCTCTGGCCAGGAAATAGAGTGGGTAAGGAGGGAGTGTGTGTGTAAGTGTGTGTGGGATGTCCTGACGTGAAAGGCGCTACATAAATGCAATCTTGTTGTTGTTGTTGTTAGTGTGTGTGTGTGTGTGTGTGTGTTTGCAGGGGGAGTTGCGAGGGAGGAAGAAAGGTGTTTTGAAGGCACGAAAGGGTCCACAGGCAGATTGTAATTACGAACTGACGTGTTACACAGCAGGGAGTATGTCTCACTCAGCAGATCATCCTCACCGCCGAAGCCAATTGTATTAACATTGTACCAGCTTGTGCGTGCCAGTGATCCGAATGCTCCAGAGTTGGTGCAACAATTAAACTAATTGGCCAATAAACCATGAATATTGGTATCAGCAAATCTGGATGAAGACTGCAGTAGATTAAACCTGATATTGAGCGTCCGAAGCCAATTATTATGCACTCCGTCGCCCAATGTGAAACAAGGCATCTCGCTGATTGGTTTTGTTTTTGCCCGAGCGATGAAAAGGGAGCAAATTCTCGTTATAAAGGTTATTTCCTCTCTCTTTTTTTTAATATAATAACAGTCACTTGCACGCTGCACCACTAGAGGTCGGTGTGGCTCAGTTAAACTCTTTATCAACTCGAGCTTCAGAACGTAAGATCGTCAGAATTGCTGGACGAGAGAAGACCAAGGTCCACCCAGTTCGTCTTCCACCACCCTGGCAGTTGCGTGCACAAGCCGTGTCCCAAACGAGACTGTAAACTGTGTAATTTAAACGGATTTCGAGTGAGCAATGCCGAGGCCACAGAACTGCATTTAACTCCCAACGCATTTCGTTATTCATAAGCTGGCGTTGCCGCCCAGCCTTCCCTCTTACAATCTGTCCCTTTCTAACGAAAAGAAAATCAAGACAGACGTGAGAAAAAAGGCTTAACCTGTCTCAATCTTGATTGTTACGATTGGGAACACGGGATGTAATAATAATAATCCTTGCATTTCTGATTGCGCCTTATCGTGTCGAAACATTTCAGAGAGATGCAACGGGGGTTCGCGAACAGCAGCAGCCCCCAAACAGACACCAAGTGAGCGATCAACTTTATGTGGGGGACGGTTGGTCAGGACATTGGAAGAAACTCTTCTCTTTTCGAATAGCCACCTGCGGGATCTTTAACGTTCACCGAGCAGGCAGACGGGACCTCGTTTGATGTCTTATCCAAGGGACGGCCCCTCCGAAAACACAGAGCGACATCAAACGCCCGGATTCTTGTGTTATTACAAATGGGGGCTGCTCCCAAAAAAATGCCTCCCAGTCAGTGCTTTGACTGGAACGGCCCAAGCAGATCAGGCATCCTTGAAATCTGAGAATTTCTCATTAAAAGGCATTAACTCTTGTCTTAAAAAGCGCAGTGTTTTCCAATATAGCTAGGGGGAAAGCTGCTCCCCTTAGACTTTGAATCCAACATAAGTGAAATATAATGTTAATTTAGTTGTGTAACCACATCTTTATAATTTAGTACCGAGCACTCCCAGGTCAATTGAAGTTACAGCGAAAGGCAGGGAAAAGCTTTGCTTCTCTGCGTGTTAATCAATGGGCATTAATACCAGCCTCGAGAGTGAAACTCCTGTTACACCGAGCACGATGAAGTTACATTACTGTACTGTGGCATCACCTCTGACCTTCAGATCAGCCGTGAAACCTGTCTGCCTGGTCGGATGGACGTTAAAGTTCCCACGCAACTATTCTGAACAGCGAAGCAAGTTTCTCCTGGGGACTTAGCCAACCATCCCCCGGATACAACTGGTCGTTTACTTCTTGGCGGTTTATGAGACACTGTTGTGCGAAAATTGGCCTCTGAGTTCGTTCACAGAAAAAAAGTCATTAAACTTCACAGCAAGTCCCGTGAAACGCTTTAAGACGTCCCCCTGATGCGAAAGGGGCAACTTGAAATGTAAGTCGCGTTGAGATAATATTTTCCGTGTCAAGGGATCGCTGGATTGAGCTCCTACCCTCTCTCTCTCTCTTTCTCTCTCCGTCCCACCCACAACTTACCGGGTTGTCAGCCTGGTTGATGCCCAGGAGGAAGATCAGCTCAGAGGAGAAGAGAGCAACCACCATGTTCTTGCTGATGCTGTGCTGGTTCGAACGCAGGGACCTCAGGAACAGAAGCACCAGGAAGGACAGGAGCAAAGCCCCCAGCGAGATTGCCACGGTGGTGTACGTGACGAGCTTCAGAGGTAGTATCTCACCGTTCTGAGGAGACATGGGAATTGTTGACATCGATATTACGCGTCGCGCTCGCCTCGAGTTTTACACTTGATCTTTAAAAAAAACTTTTAAATAACCGATAGGGTCAAGTGACACTTTGCCTCGTGGCGCTGTGCCAATTACCTCTCGTCTGGAGATGTCCATGAGAACGGCAAAACTGGTCATGTGATTGCACTGACAGCTGATGTGGGTCTCGTTCCTGAAGAGCAGCTCACAGCCCTTTGAGGACCAGCCTCCCGTTCCGCCGACACTGGAGCAGAGCAGAGAATCGCCAAGAAAGCAGACGGTGGTTATAATAATAATAATAATAATAATAATAATAATCCTCGCATTTAACACATCGCCCTATCACGAGACGCCTCACAGCACTTCACAGAATACACTGTGATGTGAACTGACTGTATATTTCGTGAGGGGGGGGGTGAGGCAGAAGGACTCTGGGATGCAATTTCAGAGCGCGGGGTGGTGTGGGGTGGCGGGAGGGAAAACAGCTGAAAGCAAGCCCACCCACCGATGGTTGGGCTGATCAAGCCGGGGAGAGGGGAGGGAAGACGTGAAGTGATCTGGTGTTCATTGCACTACATGTCTGTCATTCAAATCTTCGTCTGGAAATCGCCCGACTTTAGTCGAGATCCCCATGGGAGCAGGAATTGATTGTGTTTGTTTTTTTTTAAAAAAGAAGGCACAGCGGAAAAAAATAAAATGCGACGAGACTGAATTATTTCAGCCCCTTCTCTGGAGGTTTCCTCCAAGCCGTGGAAACGGACGTGGAACATGTAAGGGTTACCTCGACACAAGGTCGCAGAGTAAAAAATCGATAGGAGGGTAGTTTAGCCGATTGAAAAATCAACTGTTCTGTCACTGAGATCAATGCGAGCACTTTGGATATCAGAACCTTTATTGAACTAGTTAATAATCAATACAACACACGCACACAGAATATACAACACACACAGGCAACACACACCACACAGAACACACGCGCGCCTGCACACTACACACACCAGCTGCACGCACAGCCCTATTCATTTATTAGACACGATCAATCGCCCTTCGCTCCGAGACACTCGGGTCACGGCGTTGAATGATCGCGCGATCACAAGATTGGTCTGGCGAAGGGAGACCCTTTCAGCCCATTTGATCTCAACCTTCCAGAGCGCCCACCCCTTCCCACCTTCCCATCAGAGCATCAAGCCTGTTATATTTCTTTAAATACGTCTCAGAGTCGAAAGCCCTTCCTTGACAACCTGATCCGATCACGATTTACCCTCCGGGTGAAAGAAAACCTTTCCGGCTGCCCGGGCAGGAATTCTGACATTGCGACTTACTGGATGGAGTGGTTCCAGAACACGCAGATGGGTTTGGAGCGCTCTTCGGTTTCGAACAGCCGGTAGTGCACGGTGATCGGGTTTTCCAACTCGTGCTCCAGCAGCTCATCATTGTCGTGGACGGTGACGCTGACGATCGGGCTGTTGATGACCGGTCGCTTGGGAACCCTGGAAGAGACGAGATGTCGTACTCTTACACGCAATCAGATTCCGACTTTCCCATCCCAGTCGCTATTTCCTACTCACTGGGTGAGACGTCCTCAAAGTACACAGCTTCGCGGAATATAATGTAAAGTGGAGTGACTGTGTATTTCGTGGGCGAAATGCAGGAGCCAATTGCACACAGCAGCGTCCCCACAAACAGTTGCGGACTGAGCAATCAAATTATTGTTGTTATTTTATTGATATATTTTTCCTGAAGAGATTCTTACATTATTATATGAAAAGTCAACGATGTCCTGAATTAGGGGGTAAATATGAGTCTTGGGCTAATGGGTTTTACCTCAGGCTTCGCTTGTCAGGGTCGTACTGCTCCGGTAACAGCTCTCCCAGCGTCCAGTAGATAATGATAGTGGCGATGGCGTCCTCTTCGTTTGTCTCTGGGTGACGCTTCTGCCTGTACAGGGGTGCGTTTTCCTCTTCTGTGGAGGGCTCCGTGGTTCTGGGACTGTCCGGCGAAGAGACTGCAAAAATAAACAATACCAACAGTCATTGACGCATTTTTATACAGCACCTTTCATGTGACCAGGGTTGTCTCAAAGCTCCTCACAGGACTCGCCGTGAAGTGTAGCAATAATAATAATGATAATAATAATAATAATCCTTGCATTTGATACAGCGCCTTATCACGTCCTCGAGACATCTCAAAGCGCGTCCTCGGAATATAGTGAAGCGAATCGACTGTATATTTTGTGGGCGAAACGCGGCATAGCCGATTGCGCACGGCGGCGTGAGTGAGCGAAGCAAACGAACAAAATAACCGTCGCGAAAGTATCTGTCAAAATGCCGAGCCATCCACAAATCCCTTGGCAACTTGTGGATGGCTCGGCGCGAGCAACGATTCGGGGGATTTTTTCCTGAGTTACAAACGATTGTGGGCCGGTGGAAAATCTCCCACCGAAAGCACCCCCTTTCCCTCGTGCTCCCCGACTCTCGCGAGGCCACTTACGTTTGTTCTCCGCCGGTCGGAAGATGGACTCGGGGAGGATGGCTGCTGTCTCCCTGTCGGCTGGCTTCTCTCCCCGCACGGAGTCATAGCGAGGGAGTTTGACTCCGGCAAAGTTCAGCTTGCGGAGCCGATCGACCGAAATCACTGCCGGGGAAAGCCATTGGGTTAAAGACGCGGAGAGACCGACCCCCTAATGGGCACTGCCTCAAGAATAAATACCCCTCTTGGGACCTGTGTTTAACATCAACCACCCCCCCCCCTCTGCCCCAGAGGGGAGATGAGGAGAAGTTTTTTTTAAATAGATACGCAGCGAGTTGTTACGATCTGAAAGTGTGGTGGAAGCTGATTCAATAGTAAGTTTCAAAAGGGAATTGGATATTCATTCGGAAAAGGAAATGATTTGCAAGGCTGTGGGGAAAGAGGGTGGGGGAGTGGGACTAATTGGACGGGGTCTTTCAAAGGCACGATGGGCCTGATTCTATGATTCTCTGCCACCCCCCGCCCTCCGGCCCCCCACCCACCCCTTACTGAAGGGCAAAGCCTGACTGGGTGCGAGCGGGTTGTTTGAGCGGCAATCTGCCCACCAACGCTCCGTCAAAATGCGCTGCCTTTAACCGATGCCTTTACGTGGCACTGAATTAAAAATTGGAGGGAAGATAATCCCTCGCCTTGCACACAAAACTTGGAACGTAAAGCTGAGGGGGAAAGCTGCGTTTAGCATTTCAGGGGAATCAAAGCTGAGCTCTGATTGAAAGCGAACAAGAGAATATAGCAACGCTTAATTACTCCCGACGCTCCTGTCTAGCGCTCCCCCAAACCCCGAGCACTCCCGTTCCAGGAAGGGAGCCCCGCAAGTCGAGATTAGTTTTCAACGTCTATCTGAGTTTAACAAGTTCAACAACGGGACGATAAGGAGACCCACTGTGAAAACAAGGCCTCAGGCGGAAAACAATTAATATAACCGGGGACAACTCTGCAATGACATGTAGCCTACTTATAGCACAGGCAGTAATTTTCCTAAAAGGCACTTTATTATTGTTAACAATAATAACCTCTGACACGGCGCCCCTCACATCGGGAGGACGTCCCAAAGCATTTCACATGCAGTGACTTGTGCATTTTGTAGGCGAACGCAGCAGCCAATTTGCACTCAGCGACGTCCTGTAAACGGCCATGAAGTGGGTGACTCATTTTATCTGAGGGGATTGCTGGCCAGTACATTGGGAGAAATTCCCTTCTTTTTTCCAATAGCTACCCGCAGGATCTTTAACATCCACCTGAACAGGCAGACGAGATCTCTTTATGTCTCGTCAGAAGGACGGCACCTCCATCAATGCAAAGTAACTGCTTTGCTGTATAGAAACAAGCCTTTCCTTGAATGAACCCAGTATCCTGGCCTCAACCACCCTGTCTAACTGCACAATACTCACCCATATTGGGAGTGACGATGGTGAAAGGGCTGAGGTAGGTTTTTCTCATGTTTTGTGCCAGAGCGTTCGCGTAGTTCTCGTAACACCTGAGCAGGTGAGCAGTCCCTCCGTCTGTTTGCTGGATCATGTCCCAGTGCTGTTTGTTACTCGCCTCCAGAATTGAGTTGCCGACTTTAATGAGGTTCTGATCAACGTGGAAGAGTAGAATTATAGCGTTAAAAGGCTCGGTTGCCACGGACCAAATCCCAGACAACACTTTTGAGTTGGGTTACAGGTGAGCCAGCAAGCAGCATGTCGACATGCTTGTAGCACTGGCTCATTGTGTCTACGGTTCCGGACAGTGACTCGCAGTGTTTTTTGTGGCATAACCACAACAACTTGCACTTATATAGCACCCTCCTCGTCTGAGAGGCATGAAGCAGAGACGGCGATCGATGGATTCTCTTACCTCTGTGAACTGCACGTCCTGGGTGGCGGCTAGATTAAATCCCTCTTGGGCGTTCTCAAACTCCAGGATTTTGGATACCAAATGGTACGCGATCTTAACGTCGCTGCCGAAGTATGCGTCCGTGTACCGAGTGGCGTTCTGTAGTAGCAGCGCCATTTGCTTGGATTTTTCCACGTCCAGCGACGTCTCATTCCGGTTCAGCTTGTCAGCCTGCGCAGAAAAAGCTTCGTCAGAAATCCACAACCCCTCTCAGGAACTTACTAAGTCCTTACAATATGATGGGCAGCAGTTAATAACAATAGTAATCCTTGCATTTGATACAGCGCCTTATCATGTCTTCGAGATGTCTCAAAGCGCTTCACAGAATTTACTGTAAAGTGAATCGAGTGTATTTTCTGGGCAAAAGGCAGTCAATTGCGCACAGCAGCGTCCAGCAAACAGTCGTGGATTGATGTGACCAATTTATTATTATTACTGCTCAAAGAGTAAATAAAATAATACTTACGATGACTTTTAGCTCGACAAAGGTATTGGTGGTGCAGTTGAAGAGGTTAGGAGGGAGCCAGCCCCTATGTTCATCACAGTGCCTGATCCCTGTTCCTGTGAGAAAGAGACAATGCATAAATGCCAATTCAAAGCCTTCTATGATAAAGACACGGGTGAAATACATGCTGTAAGTCTGTTTGTACAATAGTTGTGGCAAATAACTGACAAAAAAAACAATAATCTTTGCATTTGATGTAGCACCTTCCATGTCAGGACATCTCAAAGTGCTTCACAAGATTTTTCCATAAAATGTAGTGACTGTGTATTTGCAGAATCTACAAACTTACAGAATGCAGAAGGCAATTTGCGCACCGAAATGTCCCCAAAATAGCCATGAAGTGAGTGACCAATTTCTTTTTTTCTTTTCAAATCGCGCCATTGGATTTTTTATGTTCACCTGAACATGGGCGTCAGTTTAATCTCTCATCCGAAGAAAGGCACTTTCATGAAGTGTTAGTCAAGACTATACGAGTTCCAAGTACCGATGTGGGACTTGAACCCAGAACCTTCTGAGTCAGAGTGGAGAGCACTACTAGCTGAGCCAGGCTGCCCCTTCTCTAGCAGCAAAGTACCAATAACATAATTTTCCAACTTGCATTTATATAGCGCCCGTTACATGGGGCAGAGTCTTGGAGCCCCACATCGACCAACGGAAATTTCCTCTCCTGTTTTTTTGGTGCAATCTACGCCGATTCTGAATTATGCTTATGCTGAGGGTTTATCGCTGGTCTCATGTACAATGGTTCCACTATAGAGCTGTTCACTGTGTACCCAGAGGCTCAGTGTAAAGACTTGCTTTATTAGCCTTGCGACCTGGACCATTGCACAAAACAAACATTAAAATGATTTCCTTTGAAATTAATGACTAAACGATGGCTATCAAAGCGCTATCTGTCTATCTGTTGCTTTTGAACTTCTGTTCATAAAGGAAATATAAGAGATTGGAAAGTAAAGTTTAACCAAATAATATTATCTGCTGTGGATTTTATTAAATGGGCCCAGTGAGAGACTGATTGTCACTGGTTTAAAATACAGATCCACTATGTTTGCAAAGGATTATTTTTATTATTCTGTGCTGAAATACTGTTCCACGCATCCACTATTCAGTGAGGAAAAGAAGCCTTCTGATCTCTAGTCCTGCCTAAGGCTCTTTAATTTTTAATACGCCCTCTAGTCTAAGAGTCTCAGTCTGAGTCCAATAGCTTCCATTTCCATCTGCTTTCTCTACCTCTCTTGTCGTTTTAAAGTCCTGAGCCATAGACATCAAACACAGAGACATGAGAGTTTTTTTTTAAAAACACACCCTTGTTCCCAATCAACGTTAATTATAATAATAATAATCCTTGCATTTGATGCAGTGGCTTATCACCTCGTTGAGATGTCTCAAAGCTCTTCATAGAATATATTGTACAAGCAAGATGTTTGCAAAGTATCACTGCAGAAAATAGTACCAAACCGCTTCTGTGTGACAAACGAGGTATTTTCAAAAACACAATTAATTGAAAAAAAACATGTTTTCAGAAACGTTTCCAAATTAGCACAGAAGTACTTTTCTACGTTGCTTTTAATGCAGCTCGGAAGCTCTGCGGGTTCCCCGGACTTGAAATGAATGAGAGTTATCACCTCCTTTAAAGAGTGGACCGTATCGAGGGGGCAGATGAAGCAGTTCTGGGTGACTGAAACGAAAATATTCCCGAGACACGTGTGTAAGTGTGGCACAACATTACCGATTGATCCTTTGGGGCAAGGCACTGCAGCGGGCAGTCCAAACTTGGTTCTGGGCCACCAGATCTCTGCTTCAATGGCTCGCGGACAGCTGTCGTAAATCACTGAGGGTAAAAGTAAACAGATGAGGGAGCTGGAAATTAATAATAATTCCTGCATCTGCTACAGCGCTTTATCAGGTCCTGTATGATTGAGAGTTGGACGTTGGCAATTGAAATCCAACACTATCCATCACATTTACACCCATTTATTCTAGAAGTATTGTTCAAAACCGACGAACGATATAAACAGGAGAGTCAAGTAATTTAAAATAATAAGAATGATAATAATCCTTGCATTTGATATAGCGTTCAAACTTCTCGAAGTGCTTCACAGAATATACTGTGAAGCGAATTGACTGTATACTTTGTGGGCGAAACGCGGCAGCCAATTGAGTACAGTAGCGTCCCACAAATTATTATTTGCAAGAACAGACCGTTGGCCAGTAACACCCCCACCTCAAACCCGGAACAAAGAGAAAAATCCGATTATGTCAATAATTTGGTAAAAAAAAATGTGGTCACTTAATCTACGACGGTTTGTGGGGATGCCGCTGTGCGCAATTGGCTGCCACGTTTCGCCCACAAAATAGACAGTCAATTCACTGTAGTGTATTCTGTGAAGCACTTTGAGATGTCTCGGAGATGGGATAAGGCGCTGTATCAAATACAAGGATAAATATTAGTATTAAATAGGGGCTTGAAGGTTCGAAGGTATAGTTATCAGCTCACCTTCACAGCCGTTGGGGGAAACCTCCGCAAAAGGGTTGTCACAGTGGTCACACTGCCTTCCAATGACCCCCGGCTTACACTGGCACTGGCCAGTCTCCATGTCGCACATGCGAGACAAAGAACCTGTTGGGTAACAGTCACAGGGGTAGCAGGCCTCACTTCCGGGAGGCCAGTAGTGATTTTCCTAAATAAAAAGACACAAACGTTAGTTTCCCATCACCTGGCACGTAAAGGTTCAGTGCATTTGCCCCCTCTACTTCCATGTGATCCGTTTCTAAGTCGGATTGTTTGCTGGTTGGGTGTTGACCGTTTAAATGAGGAATCAGGTAGACTCAAACCTACTGTTATGATTCGGGTCGACGTAAAAAATTGCACCTGCCTAGTTAGCTGTACAAAGATGTCCAGAGTCACTCCAGGGGTCAAAAAATACGTGTAGGTCAGATAGATGGAAAAAAAATCTTTATCTGATTTATCTGTTCCCAATTTATGTAGGGAAGTGACCATCTTCCACTTATCCTGGTCTTTGACCTGAAGGTGCCAATGTGGCCAACTATAGATGTGATCAAACATCATTGCACTCTGTGGTGTAGAGCACAGAGGCGCACTACTGCCATACTCCACCCGCCTATAGTAATCCCCCTTCTCCCCTCTCCCCCTCTGTCTTGTTCATTGACTGACCCTGGCTTTGGGAAGCTCTCCGAGACATTGGGCGCTATATAAATACAAGTTGTTGTTTATTCCCCACCTTACATCTGCAATCCCCAGTCGTCTTGTTGCAATCAGCATCAAACCCACTGCCGGTGTCACAACTGCAAGGTCCGCAGATAGGATGTCCCCACCATCCTCTAGGGCAGGGCTGGTCAATCCTACAGACGGGAGACACGTTCTGATCAATATTCAAGTAGTGCGAACAACAATAATAATCTTCGCAATTGATATAGCGCCTTATCGCATCGTTGAGACGTCTCAAAGCACTTCACAGAATATATTGTAAAGTGTGTATCTTGTGGGCGCAACGTGGCAGCCAATTGCACACAGCAGTGTCCCACAAACAGTCGTGGATCAAATGACCCAATTTTTTTTTTTGAACGGATTGTTGTTGAAGGGATTATGACCCCCAGAAAGCAACCTGACAATCGACTAACCTTAACAGGTTCCAGCATAAGAAGAGGTCATTCGGCCCATTGTGTTTGCACTGGTACTAAAGCCTCCAATGGGGCCATCGATTCTAATCACCCGTCTTTCGCGGAAAATAAACAACAATTACTGCAACACGGCCCTCATCAACTAGCTGTGCGCGGAATAATTCAATGAATTCAAATAAAGCGTGATTAAGAAAAAAAGAGAACTTCTCAAGTAGCTAAACCTTCACTAGCAAACAAGGAAACGCCCGGCTCAGGCTCCACTTACTTGTTCTCACAGTACTGTCCGAAGTAGTTCTCCGAACAGTCGCAGGTGTAGCCGTGTGAAGAGCTGGGTTTGCGGGTACACGCAGACTGGTGCTCGCAGGGGTTCAGGGAGCAAACATCCTGACATTCCTCACCATAGTATCCTAGGCAAAATTGGACAAAACTCAGCAGTGAACGGTCAATCCTGGTTAGAACATGGGAAACCCATTTCTCCTCCCGACGCCATGCTGAGCAGCGGAAGCAAGGTTACCACCTAAACAGATTGTTCAGGTACAACGATAAGGTCTGGCCCTGCTCTGCATCTCTGAGCCATCAGGAATGGCAAAGGGCTCTTCTGATCTAAGGCTTTCAGAAGTGATGCAAAAATATGTGCGCACATAATTTACATGCAATGCTGTTGTTTTGCAATCAAATACTCGAGAAAGGATAAGTGGAGATTCTCCTTTTCAGCCCATCTCTTCCCAAGGGGTCGGCTGATTAATGCTCTGTGTTCTTCATGCCATTGCTCAGAGGTTAACCAAAAATAACACAAGACTTGAACACAGAGTTCAGTGGACGAGATCTGAATTCAGGCGTCAGAATTGCCTTTAATGGTACGGACGCATCAGTCGCTCGATTGAACATAATAAAAATTGAAAGGAACAGAAAATTCCCTTGATTTTAAAGGAATCTTACATCTTATCAAGATTCCCTTGACTTGCAGAAAATCAATGGAATCTTGACAAGAATCTTGATTTCAAGGGAATCTGTGCACAATCAAATCACAATCTCTGCGCACTGCGCTCAGCAATTTTTTGACCACCGCTGAGATCCAATTATGAAGGAAGGAGGGAGGCGGGGGCAGGAATAGTAAAATGACATAGCTCAGAAGGGGAGGCATTTAAGATTTGTGGTGCTTACTACCAATTTCCTTCTCTCACAAAGCGTCAGGAGCTGAAGTGATAGAAGCCATTGATTTTTTTTTGAAGCTCAGACCGTTTTGTCAGTCAGCCTGGGGTCAGACGTAGAGAGAACGGGATCAGCCACTCTAGGTACTAGGATATCCACGGACCAACACCCCACGAAAGATTCTCCAACTTGGGAGTGAGATTCAACCACGCACGGCCTTTGGGAGAGAGCAAATGCCTTCTATATACAACGTTAACCTGAATAACAACAGGATGATCTAATAACAGTTGAGACGCTGTGACCTGTAGACGCTGGGAAGCTTTGTAATTTTTCTGGGAGGAATCCAAAGATTCTATCAAACAGTCACTGAGCTTTAAACCTCGGAAACCGCTGTGACTAATCCCATGAGCTCTGCTCAGTGTTTTAAGACCTTAAGTGAATCACCGAAGCTATTAAACATTGATACCACCCGCGGATGACCCCATTACTGGCGCGATATAAAACTTTACCTGGGTCGCAGCTACACGAGTAGCTATCCCAGTCATCGCTGCAGTAGCTGTTTGAAGGGCAAGGGCTGGAATCGCAGGGATCGGGAACATTGCAACCTCTCTCTATGTTCACCTTTTCGGCGAGGTTGATGTTCAGAGCCACGGCACTGGAAAACGTCTCGCCAATTCGGACCCCCTAAAGGGAACAATCGTTATGATAATAAATTATAATAATAATTTGCTCGCTTCAATCCACGGCTGTTTGTGGGACGCTGCTGTGCGCAATTGGCTGCCCCGTTTTGCCTGCAGAATATATACAGTCAATCCACTTTACAGTATATTCCGTGAAGCGCTTTGAGGCGTTTCAAAGACGTGATAAGGCGCTGCATCAATTCAGCGATTATTATATTACCAGAGGAGCAAATTGAGCCTGTTTCACCGGTTTATTTGATCTCAGCAGATGTTTTAATTTTCCTACCTTTTCTCCAAATCCCCCTATCACCTTACTTTCCAAGAATCTTCCTGTCTGCCTTTTAAACAATCCAACCTCTACAGATTTCTGGGAGCAGTCGATGCCTTCCACATTTCCTCAGCAATCTATCTATGTGGGGAAAAAAGATTCTGATCTCGCTTCAAATTTAAAGGCTTTACGTCCAATTGCTTCAGATCCCTCAACCAGAGGGACGAGTCATCCACTACCTGACTGGTCAAATAAACTCCCCTTCGACTCCCAACACTTCCAATTGAATATAACCGACAGCTGGATTTCCTACAGTAGCAGCTGTCGGAAGTATCATTTCAGTAAAAACAACAGTAGAATCTCCCAACACTGGAGTTCCAGAAAGCAGTGTGGTAGCATAAGGAACCAAGTATCACATTTCCAGTCAGTGAATCTGGATTCAAGTCACCTCCTCGCATTCCTTCTCAGTTGAGACAAGATGTAAACAATTAGCTAAGGCAATGGAAAACTTATTCCATTAATGATAATAATCGTTGCATTTGATCTAGCACCTTATCACATCTTCTAGACGGCTCAAAGCGCATCACAGAACATACTGTAAAGTGAATTGACTGTATATTTTGTGGGCGAAATGCGGCAGCCAATTGCCCACAACAGTGTCCCAAGCAGTTGTGGATTAGGTGACTAAATTATTATTATTATTTTTGAAGGGATTATTGGAAAAGTGATCCGCCAATCGATTAACAACCGAGTTCCTACTTACTGCTGGGTAAACAGAAGGGTGTGGAGTAAAGAAACTTCGTCCTGCCCGGGAATCAAACCCAAGTCCTCTGCTTTCAAGGTGCATACTCTAACCAATACGCTACAGGACTCAACAATTGAAAGGCATTGTTAATTGCATTACTAAAGCAAGCTCTCCTCCTATTCTCTGTTGTACCTGCATGCATCCACGGAAACCCTGTAGAACATTCCCATCGTCCCCTGAAACTCCACCAATGTTAATGATCTTCAGCTTCAGACCATGCAGCTCATTGCCAATTTCCACCATCGTCTGTGAAACAAATAATAATAATAATACGTCTCAATGTCAGATAATATATGTGTTTCAAAGCACATTATCATTATCGGATCCGAACTTCTCAAATGAAACAAAAGACAAAAATAACTGTGCGTCTTGTAATGTAGGCAAACATACCATATACTAGAGTACAATTAACTGACTATCTTTAAGATCACTGTATACCTTTTTTAATATTAAAGCACATCTTGTCTATTACCTGGTGAAGCCCGTAGTCAATAGACATGAGAGCTATGTACTTGGTCTCCTGTCCGTCTTTCGAACTTCTTAATTCCAAATGTAAATGATGCCAGTCTCCATCGTTGACCTTTACTTGCTCCAGCGTCAATGCTGTGACCTGGGTGCTTGAACGATACACAGCTAACATCACGCTGCCCTCGCTGAGCTGGGAAGAGAATGGTCATTCATTCGAATCAGAGAATCCTACAGCACAGAAGGAGGCCATCCGGCCCATTGTGCCTGTGCCGGCTCTTTGAAAGAGCTCCCAATCAGTCCCACTCCCCCACGCTCTATCCCCGTAGCCTTGCAATATTTTTCTTCATTTCAAGTAAATATCCAAATCCCTTTTGATAGCTATTATTGAACCAGCTTCCACCTCCCTTTCAGGCAGCGTGTTCCAGATGGTAACAAATTGCTGCGTATATAAAAAAAAATTCTCCTAATCTCCGCTCTGGTTCTTTTGACAATTATCTTGAAGCTGTGTCCACTGGTTACCGACAGCTCATTGAGTTGCTGAAACTGCCCACAGCGGACGAAACAGACTCAGCATGGCATCTTCAGCAACCGAGCATCAAATTACCTTCCAGTGAACCTGGCTTCACAGCTCGGCGTCACAAATTACAGAGGTTAAGATAAAACACAACACAAAAGCAGCCTGTACAAAACCCCTCTTTACTGGAACAATAGGAGTTATTTTACAGAGCTCGGCTTTCATGAAGTAACGTAACATATCCCCCGCTTTCGAGGGCCTGGGACAAACAGAACATTTGTAACATGAGAACGATCAGTTACTATCTCACTCTAAGAGCCGATAATTGGCACTAGGAACAGCAAATTGGGTTGTTATTTGCCTAAAACATTCACTTATCCATATTTCATTGGAGGATACAGGTTTTTTTAATTCACTTGCGCATCCCGTTTTACTGGATTCTCTGATATCCAGAGATTATTTGAGGACCTGGAACGGAATTGTAAAGTGATAATAATAAATAATTTGGTACAGCGCCTAAGCACATTGTCAGGACGTCTCAAAGTGCTTCACAGGATTTACGTAGTAAGGTGTATCTTTGTAAATCTTAAGTTAAGATCTCCCACCCACTTAGGAGATGGGCTCAGATACGGGTTGAATGGCTTTCTGCAATGCTGTACATTTCTGTGGTCCTGTGCAGTTAGGGTTACAAATGCGGCAGAAATTATAACTAAATCTCCCTCCAAACTGGCCCAGGGTCATATATGACTGTTCGAGAATAATGCTCAGGAGGTTCAATTACTTTTCACTTCACTGTGCTTTTCTTTTTTGAAATAAGGATACATTTTGGATAAACTAGTTTAATTGGAATCATTATATACTGTTGAAACACTCGTGTTGAAACAGTAGAATCAGGAAGATACTATCAGCAAATGTGATCTTGGCAGATTCGCTCCATTATAACAGCCAGCATTCTTTTTGATCATTTGTTTATGATTTTGTGTGTGTGTATGTGGAACCTTTCAGTTGAGATAACACTCTGTCTTGCTATGCTGTGCAAATGTGCAGAGGAAATCCAGATGTTTTAAATATCTCAAGATTTGTACACCTCACACCTAATCTTCACTCAAACAATGTGTTTAAAATTCTAACATGAGAGCTCATTCCTAAATATATATTGACTCCATGAGGATTTATGTGCGAGGGATATATTAACGCAACTATCAAATGAATGCACTGTTTTTTAAACTGTTTATGTCAGGGAGAAGGTTTAATGTTTGCTGGATGACTAATTGTACAATAACAATGCTTGAATATTTCTGGAGATACTGAAATAGTTAGGAATATATGCAGTCAAATATAGAAATATCTTAATGGGAACCTTCATCGGAAATAGTATTGGTGCATTTGCCTTATGATTACAATTCCGTGGATTGCTTATAATGGACTGCAAGCTGAGGAACATAAGAATCGCTTAATTAACGAAGACCAGTTTGCCTTCCACCATCCCAGCACATGTCATGTCCCAAACTATGTACTGTAACACAGATTTTATTTCCTAACAGAAACCTATCTAATTTGTTCTTGAAAGAATCAACACTTTCCGCTTCCAAGATCTGTCTCTCTAGGGAGCCTGTTCCATACATTTACCACTCGCTCACTGAAGTAGTTTTTCCGAGGATGAAATGTTCCTCTTAATGGTCTGGCATTGTGGCATCCTCAAAAGCATATCAAAAATGTCATTATTTCGGGGAAGCGTTGGGAATCTCTGGCTACCAACCTGAATGCTTACGGTGGAGAACTGACCAGCATCCACACGGATCAAAATGCCAGTTGCTAGCCTGGTGCGGAACATTAGTCCGATGTACCAGGGCAAAGTGATGGTGTTGAGAAGGTTGTTCCACGAGGCAAGACTGTTCCCCAGGAACCGCTGAGGGCTGGCCATTACTGGAAGACAAAAATATTCCAACAATTTAAAAAACAATTGAATTCCCCACTAGATTGTTACAGGACTATCCACCTCAGTCTTGAAGATGTGAATGGACACACACATCCCAAACATACACATCACACATGGTATAACCTTTAAGTGACTTTATGTACAAATGCCACTTCAGACTTGTCCACTACTTGGCCATACAGTCTTACAGAGTCTGACGGAGGCAGGCATTTCCAGCATTCAGTCACGTCTGCAGTCTTGCACTAACCACGCCAAGAATTATGTTTAAGACATACTTCAGCTGCCAGTTCTGGGACTATAAATTAAGTGGAGTGTTTGTAACTGAAGGGATTAACTAGCCAGTTATCAGCAAGCACTGTGCTAATATTCCACTTTATAGCAGTGCTTATTACAATGCAAAACTTTTAATTTTCTGTTGTGGGCAGTAACTTCCCTACCAAAGGGATTCCTAGTCCTTAGCAATGGATAATTTTTTTGGGAAAAGCACTGAGAATTACTTTTTGCACTATAAAGCAAGCATTCATGCCCCTGTTTATACCCTAACACTGTTATAAATAACTGTATTGGTGCCACTCTTTACGCTAATGTCAATCTCCCATTTCTTCGCTTCCCAGCAATGAACAAACGATGGGCTCGCTATTTATAACCTTTTTCTTTAGGCAAAATAAAAGCTAAGATGACAGAGCACACATACCTAAGCCGTGCTTTCACACCTTCAGCCAACGCTATGTGGTTTGAGTTAATCTGTTCATGGTCTGATGCTCTGTTACACTGGTTTTGTTTCACTCTCTCCTATCAGCCAAGGCCCATTCAGAAAGCTCCATATGCTTATCCAGACCTAAAAAGGGATATGCATTGGGTCTAACTAACCAAATCTTTCCCAATAGTTTGTGAATAACTGGCTTCATAATCACAAAAAGGTCCACTCGCCCATCCCAAATTCTCACTTCTCTTGACTTTCTTCCCTCCTCTTCCATCTCCAAGAAACACTGTAGCACAACCACAACTTCAACAACAGCATGGATTTCATATAGCACTTTTCACAGGATAGCGTCTCAATGTGCTAATATTTTTCTGAGCATCTGTGTTGATTACCTCTATGTAACACAAGTGTTTAGTATTATTGGGTCAATGGATTGGGTCAATGGTAGTCACTGTCCTGAAACGACACTTTCTATATGTCATGTGGAAGAGCTTTTCATTTATCATCTGTTGTCCTATGGCCTCTACAATTGCAGCGAGTCTTCAAGCAGGACAGAAAGACAAGCTTGTTGATATCCCCTCACGGACGGAACCCAAACACAGATGAAGATCATTAATATCTCATCCAAATGGCTGTCGCCAGGGAAACATCTGTAGAGTCTGCTATTGGTTTACAGTTAACGGCAATTTGTTTGTCCTGACCACACTCACTCGTAGGTCGAAACTTAAATGTCTTGGTGAATTTCAGATGAAACACAAACAGCTGCTCAGAGGGAAAACTTGCCAGTAACTGTCTCTCTCCCTAAAATAAAATTGTTTTTCTGCCAGAAATCAGATGTGCGTAATCAGCATTTTATGTAGCAGTCCCCTAAAGGTCTGTGGTTGAAATGGAAGAGAAAAAATACTTCCTTAAAATCTCATAATCTGGGCAATTGGAGTTAAAATAACTCAAGTATTCAACAACCAAACTACAATCACTTGCATTTATATATTGCACCTACAACCTAATAATAATCCATGCATTTTATATAGCGCCTTATCACTTCGAGACCTTTACATGTCCCCTATTGACTGGGCATGTAGAATAATGTCTCGGAGCTCTGTACAGTGTGTACAGTGGCGCGGATGGACACCGAGTGGGGGGTAGGAGAGGAAAGGGGGGAAAGAGGGAGGAGATCATAAGCGTGGACCACAAGGTAGGTTTTAAGATGGGTTGCGAAGACAGATAGGGAGAGGACGAGACACAACGGGCGCGGGGTTGGAGTTTCAGAGGCTTGGGGCGTAGGATCGGAAAGCACGGCCACTGATGGTGGTATGGCAGTGGGGGAGCAAGCCATGCGGAGGCGGAAAGAGCAAAGAAAGAGGAGCGGAGTAGGAGGAAATCGGAGAGTTATCAACTCCATCTGCCATCACAACAACAATCTGTGACAGGAGGTGCATCGCAATGCTTTTCCCCCATTAAAAGGACATCCCAAGCTTTCAAGCCACTTAGTTCACCTGGAATGGAATGGTAACAACAGGCAAACCAGTGTATATTATATTAAAAGATGTCAGTCTGAATCACGTTAGAAGATTGTAATAAGGTCAAGATTCCGGTGGCTTTGCAAAATCCTTTGAGCTTCACTTCAGATCACTGCCGTCCCCTTGTGTACAAAAGTCTTCCAACATAGTCGAACCTTGTTGTTCTGGGATCAGTTTTTGTTATCAACATGCGCTGGCGGAGAATAATCCAACCTTTTTACACAATGCAGACCATTTTAACCCCAAAATGTCAGTACAAACAGAATAATGCAATTAGTGTCACATTTGCAAATCACAAGTCAGAGAGAACGGAGTTTCTCCCGCTGTCCTAACCAACAATTCCCCCAATAAAATTGTTCATTCGTACCACGGCTGTTTTTGAGACATTGCCGTGTTGCAAATTGGCTGCCTACGCTTACAGAGTTACTCCACTTTACTGTAAAATCCTGTGAAGCGCTTCGAGACATTTCAATGAGGTGATAAGGTATTATATCAAATACAAGTTTCATTAAAATATAACATGCTTCACTTTAAAACACTCAATGTATGTATGTATGTGGCAGTTTAATGTATATATTAATGTACATATTTGCTTTCTACAATTTGTCAAACATCACATAGGGCAATTAGCTTGAGATGTTAGTAAAAAATGGTTCTCTTGTGATGCCTTGCTTCAGCTCACACCAAAGACGTCTTCTAAAGACATCCAGAAGACGTGAAAAGCGCTACATCAAATGCAAATGAAAGGGGTTATTAAATTGCAGGCTATTGAAGATTTATGGCAATGCTTACCTTCATTCCGAACAGCGCTAGACAAGAAAGACGGAGGCTAGTTTGTCAGCCTTAAGCAAAACTAATTCTTTGAAATTCTTTCCAAGGAATTTTTTTTCCCAGAAGAATGTATATGTCACTTCACTTTCAACATTTAGGACATTCGATCTCCGAGATTGTGTTACAAATGTGTAAACTCCTTGGAGGTACTGCTCATTATGCAGGGAAGATACTATTTTAGCCAAAGGAAAGGTGAGGGTCTTACTCCTTAGCAACACATGAGTTATTTCTATCTCACTATTCCTATAGCTCTGTTAGATGTAGGTTCAGAAACATCAGGTGTAAAAATAAAGGTTGAAACATGCAAGAAAGAGAAAATTGGTCATTCCCTTCACGGCTGATCTTCTCTTTGACCGAGCCTTCAGCTCCCCTCTCAACTCTCTTCCCCCTTCTCGCTCCCTCCCTTCCCTCCCCTCACCCTGACCATTTCCCCACTCCTCGCTCCCTCCCTTCCCTCCCCTCACCCTGACCATTTCCCCCCTGCTCAGGTCATGACCCAACTGTGCAGCGCCTTGGGACGTCCTCCTGACGTGAAAGGCGCTTTATAAATGGAATCTTGTTGTTGTTGTTGTTGTTGTGGGACGTCGCTGTGTGCAAATGGGCTATCGCGCTCACCAACAAAATAGAGTCGCTACACTTTTTACAGTGAAGCACTTTGAAGAGGATTCAATGCCATGATGCGATACTGTATGAAAGGCAAGGATTGTTATTATTACTATTATTAGTTGTAGCAGTATCACTCAGCTCAACTTTAACACCAAGAAAAACAACACCCTGAGACTGCAATATTCTACACCGATTACCCGAGTAAAGTGGATAGGACCATAATGGACCACTCCGCAGATACTTATTCAGCTCTATTTTCCAAAAGTCCTCAAGATGGCCTCAAAGCAGCTGCATTGACGTCTGTCAGTTAAACCGAGAGCTTGCGAACGGAGCCATCAAGTCTCCGAGAAGGATCAAAGTTGCTGTTGTGTGGCTTTGAAAAGCGGCGCTAATAACGCAGACGAAATTTGAAAGCTCAAGTTAAATGTCTAGCCTCATCCTCGGTGCGAAGATTTTTCCAAGAGGTTTGATTTTTTGTTTCTGTTGAAGGGTCTTTTCGTTCCAACCCCCAACCCAAGTGAGACAAACTCTGTCGTGAAAAAGACAGGTGCACTGTAACCAAAGCCAAGCAAAGGGGGTTTGCAGAGAGAGCGTTGCTTAGGGAAGTCTCTTAGCTCTTTGCAAACCAGCTGCAGTCTTGCAAGCGCAAGGGTACTGTTCCTCACTTTGAGAAGTGTTGAAATGTGATGTTATGTTCTGGATTACAATGATTTCAGTTCTCTCTGGTATTAACTCTTGCCCTGCTGAACAGCAGAAAAGTTTGCCAGACAACGCTATCAATGGAAAGCTATGTGGTTTTAGCTGGCTAGACTCCCAACAGTTACCCCAACGCACACTCTGGGCTCCCCCACTCCAAACCTTGGCTCTTGCCGATCTGCGCCTAATATTTTCCAGAATTAGGTCAGCGGGATATGTGACGGAGTCACTTGTTATATGTCACACACTATGCTGGCGTCCATACCTTGCTCACACTTCTTGCCTCCGAAGCCCAATGGACACTCACAGCTGAAGGTCTCCCACCTGTTCACACAGGTCCCTCCGTTCTTGCACGTGTTCGAATCACAGAAGTTCCACTTTGCTGAGCAGCCTAGAGACAGAAATGGCTACATCGGTTATTACAGGCAGGCATAGAGACTGCAAAACACAGCCTTATTGGCTCTATCATTTCAAGAGTGATGACTATATGAGAGAGGAGGGCACAGAGGGGTATAGGAAAGGGGATTAGAAAGGGTGAAGATTGGTGTGGAGTATAAACACCAGCATGGACTAGTTGGGCCGAATGGCCTGTTTTCGTGTCGTGAGCAAGAATCCTTTCTATTTTCGGTGTCACTGGCTTACCTGATACCGTCCCATTATTTGCTATAAAATCAGCCATGTCAATCTGCTGGTTGTCAATAAACAGGTTCTTCATACACCCCACAAACTCGTGATTTTGCAGAGGAAAATCTTCGGGTAGGTTGGGGACACCTCCGAGAAGCAAAGGACCCGTCAAATCCAAGGATCTGAGAAATGAAAAATGGGAAAAAAAGCTTGTTTCTATTTGACTTTTTATTGTATCTGCTCCTCACTTGCATAAGAACTTTTTGTTTCTTTCTTTATTTGAATTTGTTTTGTTTACCAGTGGCTCGGATTGTGTCTACCTCATGTTAGCCTGGTTCAGCTGGTTGTGGGTTCAAGCCGCATGTCGGGACTTTGAATTCACAGACTAGGCTGATTCTCCAGCGCTGTGCTGGGTGAGTTGTGCTGCATTTCTGTAGGTGCTGTCCTTCAGATGAGATGTTAAACCTAGGTCATGTCTGTGCCTGTCAAGGTAACATAACATGTAGGAGCAGGATTAGGCCATTCAGCCCTTCGAGCCTGCCCCGCCATTCAATCATGGCTGATCTTCTAATCTAACTCCAGCTAATAACCTGACCCTGCCTTATCCCCATATCCCTTGATCCCTTTTGCAATAAGAAATCTATCTATCTCAGTCTTGAATATGTTCAAGGACTGAGCGTCAACAGTCCTTTGGGGTAGTGAATTCCATACATTCACCACCCCTTTGAGTGAAGAAGTTCTTCTTCAACTCAGTGCGAAAGGGCTGACCTCTGATTTTAAGGTTGTGACCCCTGGTTTTAATTTCTTCAACCGGGGGACACAATCTCCCACTATCTACTCTATCATGCCCTTTGATGATCTTATAAGTTTCTATAAGATCTCCTCTAATTCTTCTATATTCTAGAGAATATAGGCCCAAATTGGTCAGCCTATCCTCGTAACTCATCCCCTTCATCTCTGGTACTAACCCAGTAAATCTACGCTGCGCCCCCTCCAAGGCAAGTACATCCTTCCTTAAACAAGGAGACCAAAACTGCACACAGTATTCCAGGTGTGGTCTCACCAGGGCCCTATACAGTTGCAGCAAGACTTCCCTACTCTTATACTCTAATCCTTTCATAATGAATGTTAACTTACCGTTCGCCTTCCTAATTGTTTGCTGCATCTGCAGACTAACTTTCTGTGATTGGTGGACATGAAAGATACCCTGGCGCTAGTCAAAGAGAGAAGAGAGTTTCTCTCTGTGTCCTGACCAATAGTCCCCCAGATAAAAAATGATAATTCACTTCATGTCCATCTGTGGGTCATTACTGCGTGGAAATGGACACTTGTAAAAGTGCGTTCGTTTACAGCTATATGAAGTCGCTACAACATGCAGTAACGCTCTGGCAAAGTGATAAGGAGCTTATATGAAATGCAAGATAATCATCATCATCACCACATCACCGAGCCTGTCAATAGTGGAAAGGCTGGAGAATAATAATAATAATAATCCTTGCATTTGATATAGCGCTTTATCACGTCTTCGAGAAGACTCAAAACGCTTCAGAAAATGGACTGTAAAATGAATTTGACTGTGTACTTTTACGGACCTTTGAGGTTGACCTGTTGAATAAGTTACAAAGCGGCAGTGCAATCTGTCCTTAGTTAATAAAAAGATTGTTTATCTTCCTAAAATTTCACTTAGGAAGCGTATTTACTTGTCTGGGGTCGACAAAGGATTAAATTATTAGGGGGTTTCTGTGGTTCGTGCTGTTGGAATTCCTCCCGGTCAAAGCTTTTGATGGTTAAATTGATGGAACATCTTGAGTCTTTGCACTGCAAGGTCAGGTTATAATAAGGGCAGATTCAGATTCAGAGCTGTCAAGAAGGGAAGAGACTTTCATCCAAGCTGTATGAATTTAATTAAACCCGTGTTCTGATGTAAACAGGCAACGTTCTCATCCATCACACGACCCAGTCTTCTCATATTGAGAGCACAGGAAGGTGTTCGGCAATAGAGACTTGGCTACTGTACAAATTGGAGCTGTACTTCAAGGAGTTTAAATGCAATTGAAAAGTTTTTTTCCAAATGCAATTTGCCGTGGCGAGGAGTGTCAGCAACAAAGGTTATAATGTAGCTTCAATAATTCGCATGTTATTAACCTGATGCAACAAAGCGCACATTTAAAGGTGCACCATTTAAACACCTGGTTAACCTCTACAATTTTTTTTGTAAAGGTCTACAACATATTTGTCAAACTATGTTAGGTAGAATGATCGAGCACAGATTGAAACCACTTAGCTCAACTAGTTGGTGATGGTCTTCAATAATAATAATGATACTAATAATAATCCTTACTTTTGATATACTGCCTTTCACGTCAGAAGGATGTCCCAAAGTACTTCACAGGATATACTGTAAAGTGGAGTGTCTGCGTGTTTTGTGGGTCTACAACACAACCAATTTGCCAATTACAATATCCCACAAAACAGCCATAAAGTGAATGCCTAATTTTATTTAGGGGATTGTTGACCAGGACACCAGAAGGATTTCCCTTCACAAATATCGTACAGCTTTAGATCCCACTATTCCACTGGAGCATTCGAAGCCATGGGATCGTCAACATCTACCTGAGTATGCAGACAGGACCTGGGTTTAACACCCCATCCAAAGAACAGCACTTCTAACAACGCAGCGCTTCCCCAACTCTGTACTGAAGTGTCGGCCCAAACTGTTGAGTTCAAAGTCCCGATGTGGGGCTCAAACCCACCTTGGAGGTTGAGGCAGTAGTCCACCCCGACAGTAAAGTAACCCTATTATAGTAAAATTGCTAAATTGTGATTACTGGGGTGATGTAACATCTTATTTCTGGAGTAAGTGTTTCACTTTGCTTCAGTCTATGACAGCAGCATTAGGAGCTGGGAGTCAATGTTCTACTGCAAATATTCTAAATAATAATCACTTATTCAATGCTGTGAAGTGATTACGAATAATCACTTATGCAAGGGCTCTGGGCCGCTACCCTGCGTGAGAGGCGATAATATAAATGCAAGTTGTTGTTGCTGTTAAATAACAATGTGTGTGTATGTACGTGGGAATAGCGATATATTAAACAAGGCAGAGTGGTTTAACTTAAGCAGCCTGCAACAGCAATCGTGCAAACGCCTCTGTTTGTTCTCACTTACTTTTTTGACCCTGACTGGGTTCCTTCAGCGGAACAGGAGTAGTTCCCAATGAGGCTGCCAAAGTGGAGGGCCACAGAAGTATCACAGTCGTCAACAGTAACAACGGTAACTTTTTGCTCAGATGGACCTTGAGGGACACCCGACCTCCCAATGACAGGCTGCAGAGAGAGAGAGAGAGAGAGAGAGAGAGAGTTACAATCACTTGTTGACCGAGAAAAATAACACCAAAAAAAATCCATATACATTATTCAACGCATTTGCTGAGCTACAGCTTATAAACCAGCTCTCAGTAGTCTCCGACCAGATAGGCTTAGCATTGCAATGCTTATGAATTATGGATAAGCTGGTTATCCAACCCAAAAAAGGAATATTTGGAGCGTTTGCATCGAAATTAAACATAAAAACCAGCTCGGATTTAGCTCCTACCTTTCGCACTTCTGCAAGGATATGGAAAGATCGTAGCGGGGAAAAAAAATCCTAAATTTCAGCGAAAAAGGATGCCCATTCAGCTATCGTGTCCGAGTTATCTCAACCTGTTTTTCTAAATCGCCCTTTATTTATAATCCTCTCTCACTCACTCTCTCTTCAGGGCCTTTAGCCATTCTTGCTGCTTATCCAGTTAGTTCCCCAGTGAACAGTTCTATTGACGGGCAGAGCGCGAGCCCGTTTCTGACTCCCTGTTTACCTATTGCAATGAATGTAGTACTTTCTCTGTGAATCAATGGCAAACACCGGGACAATTAATGACCATCCTGTTAAAGAGGTAACCAGTGTTTATAGATTTGTCTCAAGACGTCAGCTTCCTCTTTTGAGACTGTAATTTCATGCCTCACAAATAAGAATAATCGTTGCATTTGACATAGTGCCGTTCACGTCAAAACGATGGCTTAAAGAGCTTCATAGGACAATCTGTAACGTGGAGTGACTGGGTACTTGTTTACGGGCGAATGCAGCAGTTAGTTTGCGTACGGCAATATACTGCACACAGCCATGACGTGAATGACTGAGTTTTTTTTATCTGGATGAATGATGTCCAGGACACCAGGAGAAACTCCCTTCTCTTTTCTGATGGTGCCGTAGGAACTTTAGCGTCCACATGAACAGGCAGATGGGACCTCGGTTTTAACATCTCATCCGAAGGACAGAATCTCTGACAAGGCAGCACACACCCACCACTTAGCCAGGCTGACACACAAATACACCTCTCTCCCAAGTGGACTCCTTCCAAACAGATGAGAGGTTTAGACTCCGCAGGGGAGGGAAAACATGTTGAGGCAATCTCAGTTCAATACCGAGCCTATAAGAAAAGAAACTCTTGGAAACCTCCAGCTGAATTTGCGAGATTGTCAGTTGTAGATTTATCACAATCTATTTTAATAATAATAATTTCAGCAACAATAATTTCAGCTTGCCTCTGGCAATATTATCGCTGGTGCCAGACTTTCTGTGCCAAACAGCACTGAGAGGCTTGTTTTTTTTCCCCCACAACAGAAGTCGCACAATACCAAACAAATACACAGAAGAAAAAGTTACAGAGAAGTTACAAAGTCCTTATAAGTAAGTGCTTAATGATAATACAAATAATGAGACAACAGGGAAAGTCATTGAAGATTTTACAAAAAGCTGTCCTCTTTGTTTTATTAATTCTCTTAAAACAAAACTTTGTTTTGATCTTACTTATGAAGGCAAATTTATGGAGGCTGAACACATCATCCAGCTCCTTTCGTCCATTGAATAGATTTAAACATGAGCAACTGCAATCCACGCTGTAAAGGCAATGCCTTTCATATCGGGAGGACGTCTCAAAGTGCTTCACATAGTTGACTGAGAGCTGGAGTTAGGAGAAGGGGAAGCAAAGGTGTGTGTGTGTGTGTGTGGGTGGGGGGTGGTAGCAGAGGAGGCTGGCTAAACACAGCTGAATTACTTTTAATTTCACATTCAGATTACCAGAGCTCTAGCGCCAGTGTTATACACTGACGGGAGCAATGATTGATGGACACTTAGCAAAGCTGGCAGTGTTTGGACCCCACTGCTCCAGTGAATCACAAAGTGATTACAAAGAGATTAATGGGGTGTAAACCTGACCACAGCCTCACCCTTTAAAGGTGGAGAATTACCCCTCGGGGTGGTGGTGGGGGGGAGTGGAATGATTACATGACGGGACTCAAATTACCGGGTAGGTTAACAACAAGAAGTCTGGTTGCCTCCACCTGAGTGGAGGCAACGGTTCAGATGGGTTTGGTTCCTGTGCCAGTTGAGCTACTAATGATGCGTATGATGCCTGGGGCACTTGCAGATATGAACCAGTCCTGTTCAGCATCAGGACTAAACAACAAATAATTTCAGGTCGTCTCGGAACGCTTCACCGGATATCCTGCAAAGTGCAGTGACTGTGTTTGTGGAAGTGAATGCTGCAAGAGACTCAGTCTTAATTTACAATCCTCTCTCTTCGGCCCAATTCTTCCTTCCCTTCCCCATGTCAATCACCCAACCCCCAGCCTTCCTGATCATAACAACACAGGAACGTTTGGGAATCACAGTGCGGGAGATCAGGACCAGGGAACCTTTTTCCGTTAAACCACATGGGAACCAGCTTTAGCTCTATTTTCCAGGATAGTTTTCCGCTTGAATTGTGCAGGCAGAGCAAAAAACGCCTCAATGTTCGTTCGAACGCTCTTGAAATAGAATCGGTCCCAACTGGCAGGGGAAGAAGGAAGACGAGAGAGCAGTTTCTCCCCATAGAATTTCACCTCGTCAGCCAACGACAATGTCGTTTAACGTGACGAGTGATCTCTGGAGAAATTGAACGATTTCAAGTTCAGCGCAGTTTAAACGGAGGCAGAAGAACGGTCGGAGGTCACGACAATGACACAAGTGCGCGCCCGTTTGTCGAGACAGATCCTTGACTCCGTTTCCGCTTCACACCACACTTAAAAGCCTTCCAAATGTCAGTCAACCCTTTCAGTCCTCAATGCTCTCTGCAGATTTGCACACATTTCATGCCACGGCATCTGCACAAATGATGGTTTCGCTTGTTCCCGTTCCGAGCAATTCTATGCATCTTATAAATAGATGTACATATTGAGCAGCGGATTTTAACTCAAAGGGTTGCTGTTTCTAAACATAAAGCTTAGGCAAAGCTTGGGGGAAGGAGGAAAGCTACGTGTTTGTGTTTGCAAAGCCATAGACGCGAAGCATCATCCCCACTTTCAAATATAACGTTTGACGAATGTTTTCTTTCCCCCTCGACCCCGAAATACGGGTGGGGATGGTGGGGGGAGTCCCGCGGAGTCGGAAGCAGAAACAGGGTTGAAGGCTGTCTCAACAAACGGTTGTGCACTTGCGTACAAAAGAACTATTCATCACAGAGAGAGTTTATCTTTCAGCTTTTTCTCTGTGCGCGTGTGTGTTTTTACCCCTTGTCAAGAAAAATATATTCCAGTTTGAAATGTTGACTTTACGGATCACACGCCTCGCCTGGAGGAGCCCTGCAATCATAACTCAATAATGCTATCCTTATCTTCCCCTTCGACAAGACGATCGGCCGTGCGTGACACTGTCCCGCTGCATCTGTCCTTTGCGGTTTCTTCGCGCTTCGGTGTTTTTTGAGGTCTTCGCCCTGAGCTATTTTGTCATCTCGTTTGTTCCCTTTTACCGTCCGCTGGATTCGCCGGGAATATAAATCTGTAATCGTGTTATGATTTGAGAGTACGATTCATTTGTTTTTCTCTCGCCCTCTCCGATTCTTTCCTCCGACTTCCCCTCCCCTACCGAAGGCGTCTCGACTCCTTTGTTATCTCCTCCTTGGGGTTTGAATTCCACGGACGCCAACTGGTCACCCTCCACTATCTTGTTCCAAGTGGCCATTACTCACATCGTGAGTCATCACAAGCGAGTGTGTGAGCAGGCTATTTCAATGGGTACGTGTTTGCTCACAGCCCCAGCCAGATTGATTGACCCTGGCCTCGGCAGTCATCCACGCACACCTTTACAGTAAGGCCTCTCTCTCTCCCTCTCTCTCGCATTCTAGCTCACTTTAGTCACACGTTGAACTGCTATGATTATCTGACTATCAGCATACATATGAGACCTGCCTGGCTCAGCTGTTCGACTGGATAAACTGCAGAGCTTTAAGGGATCTTAACACCTCTTTTCAGCGGTTACCTGTGTTGGACTATTCTCCATAAGAGCTGCCAGCTCCGCACACCTCTCCCAATCCTCTGTGATACAAGGAGTCTATGGCACAGCTTCCGAAAATACATGTGTTAGAATATTCTCTTCTTAAAGTAACATTATAACTGTACGTTAATTCCTTTCGTGGCATCAACCCCTTCGGTCACTTCGGATGTGACTTTAAACTGAGGCCCCATCCATCTGCCTGTTCAGGCAGACGTTAAAGTTCCCTTCAGCCCGTTCAAAAAGTCAAGAGATTCCACCCCCCACCCCGGTCCTGGCCAAAAATGGCCCTCGGGTAAAAAAAATTGATCGATCGCTTCTTAAGACTGCTTATGGTGCAATTGCTATGCGCAAATTGGCTGCCGTGTTTACCCACAAATCACACACGGTCGCGCCACTTAACGAGTAAATGGCTCAAAGCGCTTCGAGGCGTTTCAACAATGACGGGTATTGATGAAATTGACGCGTTGCCCGATAAGTTTATTCTGACGAAGGTGCTCCTTTAAACGTCCACAGGAATAGGAAACGTACTGCTCAGCTTCACCGCACAAGGGGATACCCTAGAAAGCCTGCGAGGAGATTTGAACAGTTCAAAGTCTGTGGGTCTGATCTTTCTAGACTCCTTTGTTTTCCCCCTGCCCTCCCCCCCCAGATCCTTCTTCCTTCTTCCCCCAGGTTCCCCCTTGCAACACTAGCCAAACCCCCTGCGGACAAAAGCATTCTTCCCCTATCAGATCATCCTTTCAGTGGCTGGCCCTGGACTCCAACAGCAACCGAGCAAACCAAATGTTTTTCAGTCCAAACAAAGGCCAATTGAATGGAAATGATAATCCGGGAAAAATTCATTTTATTATCTGCGCTCAGAAAGCCATGGAAATTAAATCCGGGGGGAGGGTAGAAGGTGAGGGGTGGGGGGGTGGGGGAGAGAGAGGAAGGGGAGAGCAGAGGACGAAGGGAGGAGGGGACACTTAAAATGCACCAG